TTTTTTTCCTTTTTGCAAACTGATTTTCGTTAAAAATCTATGCGTAATAAAAAAACCTACTTTGGTAAACGTATGCCAATTGTTTTCTTCTACTAAACGGTTCTCTAGAAAACAAATCTTCCTTAAATATGCCATTTACTGTAGCACAAAATGTTAATTCAATTTTCRTATATCATATAAAGTTACTAAGCCACAACGTGACAAGACGACAACTTCTCCTCCTGTTGTTACCATCGCAAGAACTACACCCAGGACTACCACTGCGTCAGTATCAGGAGCTGGAGTTCAAACCCGATGTCTCAAGCCTGCCAAACGAGGACGTTGTACACCATACAGAGTCGAAGTAAGATGGCACTTCAGTCAAGAGAAGAAGAACTGCGTTCCTTTTATCTACTTGGGTTGCGCTGGAACAGACGTGAGCGATGAAAACAACTTTGGAACAAAAGCCCAGTGTTTATCTGTCTGCCAGAAGAAAGGTACGTCAAGTTCCAAAAAAACCCCACTTTTTGCATTAAAAAAATAGATGTATACAACGTCGTTCTTGAACTTGAAAGATATTTACTTTTATTTTTCCCGGTCCGTTATATTAAAATTCGGGCGTTCTGATTGGCTGTTAGAGCGGGTGTTATTTTCAGTGTCTGCCCGTGGCCTGTTATTCTGACGTCATCCCCACGCGTTCATGGGATAAGGAATAGACCTTATTCGTGGTGTGACAATGTTTTCCCAATTCAACGTGACAAACCTCTGGGGGAATGAAGAGTATATTGTTTCGCAACTCGTCGGGATATCATCGTTATTCCTTTCGTATCCTTTGGGATACTCATGAATTTTTCGAAGAGTAAAAGCAAAAGAAAATGAAACCTCTGGAGGTTTGTCACGCTGAATTGGGAAAACATTGTCACACCACGAATAAGGTCTATTGCTAAATAAGTCGAAAAGTAAAGGGGAAAAAATTATTATTTAACGTTAAAAGATGGCCACTAGTTTATCATTTTACTGACCTTGTATTTCTTTCTTATGAATTAAATTATTTTAGAAGCAACTAGAGATAGTGCATGTCCAAAAGTCACCCGACCAAACCGCTGCCCTGTTGGAGTTCGTGATCAATGTTCAAATGATGTCAACTGTCAAATAGGGTTGAAATGCTGCTCAAGCGGATGCTTTTTAAGATGCATCAAACCTCCCCGTCCAGGTATAGAAACTCGTTTCATGAAAACAAAAATTATTGACATAATTTCGTATTGACTTGAAGTAATAAAAATAGGCCGTTTGCATGAAGGCGTCATTTCACTTCCACTACCAAAATCCTTCGCGAATTTTGTTTCTTATTCAAATTTGTATTTCCTTGTAAGAATTACATAAGACAATAGGACTTTTGCATGATGGCGTCATTGACGTCTACTACCGACTCCCTTGCACACTTTCTTTTGTTCCGTTAATTTACAACAATTGTCTTACATTTCTCATGAGGAAATACAAATTTGAATAAGAAAGCATTTTGATAGTGGATGTCAAATGACGACATTATGCAAATGTCCTWTTTAACAAATAAAATACATTTACTGTGTTTGCACACGCTAATGCAAACCGAGATGTGAATGGGAGAATTCGAGAGCAGATCAGTGCAAACACGAGGCGTAGCCGTTTGCACCTGCTCGAGTATTCTCCCAACCACATCGAAGTTTGCATTAGCCTGTGCAAACACAGTAAATGTATTTTATTTGTTTTATAAAATTATTTTCTTCRATTAAAACAAAAATAATGAAACACGATTGAATAAAACAGAAGAATTTAATTCAAAGTTTTAAATACAAATTCTCCTTACATACTTGTGCATTTGCAATAGCCAATCAAATTGCGCGACAGAAGACGCTTAACCAATCAAATTGCGAGTTTGATCCGACTCGCCTCCAAACATGAAATTCAAGTTGAAAATTTCTTATTTCAAAGCGAGAAGAAGCCAAACTTTTATACCGACTTTCTCCCTTGAGAAAGAGCCTTTTACAAGCAAATCTAGATAAAATAGTAATTCCAAAGCTTAACCAATGGCTTTAGTCATTCTAGACTGAGAAGAAAACACTATTTTGGGAGTTAGAACTCGCTAAATTCAAGCTTGATTTCTGTCTGTGTTGTTGAAAGAGTTCGGCGAGATTCTCAAAGTTCAGGCTGGCAAATCTGGATTTTTGCTGTTTTGTTGAAGTCTCTTCTGGTGGTTCTACTATTTCAGTTGCTTCCTCAGGAAAGTCAAAGTCTAAGCTTGGAAAATTAGCCATATTTTTCTAATTTTACGGGAGTTATGACTATTTGTGTACAAGTACAACTTCCAAACAAAACTCAAATTTTCCCGCCGGTGTCGACGAGCGTCACAACCGTTTTGCACAGGGAAATGCAAACACGGCTCTCGGCCAGTGACAGCACGCGTACTATCTGAATTATTTTATAATGRTGCATATTGACTGAACAAAAGAAAGAGTGCAAAGGATTCTGGTAATGGTAGTAAATGTTGCAATAACGCAAGTGACCTATTGTGGATATATATTGGAGAATCAATATTAATCAATAATAATCGATAATAAAATAAATAAATAATTATCAATTCATACGTTTTTGAAGATACGGGAAATGCTTTCATTTTTCAGATAAACCAGGTAGGTGTCCCATACCAGATGACGACTCTGACTGTGACGGCATCAAACAAGATGATTGCAGTAGTGATCAAGATTGTAAAGAAAACTTGAAGTGTTGCAAACAAGGTTGTGGCCTCACGTGCGTTAGTCCAGCAAAACCAGGTATAGTTTCAAATTCAACTTTGCAAATCAGTAAAAAAATACTAATATGTCTTGGTTGTTTTTATGAAAAAAAATCTCGTGAAAGCTCTTTTTACGAGAGAGAGGGGTCAGTGGAGGCTTCTCTCCCACGCGCAACCTTGAATATAAGTTGAAGAAATTTGTATTACGTTGGAAAAAAAATACTCTAATGTAAAGATTTTTTTTACAAATCATATCAATCGGGAATGAAAAGTGGCATTTTAATTGCTCGTATTCTTACCTAATCCAATTGGAATTCAGGAGTATTGAGTGCAAAGCGTAAGAGTGGAGAAAAAAAAAAAAAGAAGAAAAAAACCCCAGAAAAAGCCAGGAGAAAACCTCTTGAACCCTCATTTGACTCTAGCTAAACTTTTAAAAACATTTTTAAACGGCCTAATGGAAAAAGCTTGACATTCCGCACTTAGCCGCCCTTCAGTCACTTAATGTTTTWAAAGTGTATTTAATTGAAAGATTAACACATATTGCTTATTAAAATAGAAATAATTATCATCTTAATTTCTTTACTTTATCAGTAACAAAACTGATAAGTAATTGATAAGTAACGATAGTGCATTTAAAACATGCACGCCGTGACCATGGGAATTGATGTCTTCTCTTGTGAAGTATACACCTAATTCAAAAAACGTTGTTGGTTGGAATTGTGGGTTGTAAGCTGTAAATTGTTTGTGGCTTTAATTAGTAGTGCGCAAAAAGTTAATATCTTGATATATTAACTTTGAGCGATGAGCTTCGCTAGCAAACTATCTGGGTAAGTGTATATTGAATTTTTAACGAGAAAACACTCAGTCCCCCACAATTCCAATCGGTCTCRGATTTCTGATTTCAAATATCCAACCGACAACGTTTTTTGAAATTGGTGTATATTACTGTAGTCATTACCATTTTTTAAGTTCTCTTATTCTTTTCTTTTTTAAAGATAAGCGATGCAAAACCATACTAGATGTCGCCTTCTTGATCGATTCTTCGGGAAGTATCCGCCCAAGCCATTGGAAAATCATGCTCACATTTATAAAACAAGTTGTCGAAGCTATTGAGGTTTCGCAAGACGGTAGTCACGTGGCTGCCATCTCATACTCATCCACTCCAACCGTCGATTTCAAATTTAACACTTTTACTGGAGCGAAACTGAATCCAACAGAAATCAATATCAAGATCGATAGCATAAGACATAAAAGACATTACACCTACATTGACAGGGCTCTTAAACTAGCCAATCAAGAGCTCTTCACAACCGCTGGCGGGATGAGAGATTCCGTGAAAAAGGTAATTTAAGTAACGATGCCGTTTAGAACGATAGCACCCAACGGCAAGGCATGCGCAGTGAAGATTTCTATAATTGGATTAAATAATTATATCCAAGCTCTCTGATTAGCCGGAAAAAAAGTCATTGTATTTTTTACGGAAAAACGCCGAAATTGTACCGAATTGTCATTCCATTTGCCAAAGATACATCTGAACTATTGTCCGAATTTTTTTTAGACCAATCATATGTGGGGAACACTCGGAAATCGTTCCCCACATACAATTTGTTCCAAACTCGCCTATGTTATCAATCGTTGTTCAACAAGTCTGCTCGCCAATTTACGGCAACTATACCGGACTTGCATAAGAACAAGAACGAAAATAAGTTTGAATTTGGCGCTTTTCGAATTTAAGCCAATAAGATTGAAAAAATATAATGTAATTAACACTGCCGTAATCCAAATCGTAAACGGCTGCCCATGCCGCGGGCCTATTGTTCTCGCTATCGTTCTGAACGGCATCGTTACTTAATTGGTTTTTTCGTTGATGGCTATGATTTAATTAACCAATATTTAACTGAAAAATTAACAGATAGGAATATTTTTCTTTCTTTCTTTCTTTTTCTTCTTCTTTTTTTTTATTTTTTAATAATTTTATTTAGTTTTTTCATCATTTTCATCAATAGTCCAAAATGCTTTTTTGATGCTCTTGTTCAGATATTGATTGTGACAACTGATGGTTTCCAAACTAAACGAAAAATGCACACAAAGCTGGACAAAGCTTCCCAACCTATCAAGGATAAAGGAGTTGAAGTCTTTGCCATTGGTATTGGCAGTGCGCTAAACGAGAAAGAGCTTCTGCAAATAGCTTCCAAACCTTCCAATGTTATCAAAGTCAAGTCATTTGATGATCTATCCAAGTTATACTATAAATTAACTCCACAAATTTGCAAAGGTGATTGCAATACGATGATTATTTTGTGCACTATAAATATCGAAGTAAAGGTGTATCACTAGATGGGTAGATAGACACGGGGTGTAACATTTAACAGTAATGAAACTAGTACATTTGTAGCCCACATAAATGCTTAAACATTTAAGGGCCTAACAAATTCTTTGCAAGGAATAAGGGGCCAGAGACCGTTATTCGGTGAGTGGGACCTAAAAAACGTTCTGTACGTTGCATAGGATAATAATAATAATAATAATAATAATAATAATAATATTTATTTATACACGATAAGTTATATACAGCGTAGCTGATGTGGTCGTGTTCTAATCCTAGGTCCTAAGCTATACTAGGATTAAGGACAGGATATTGATACATTTTACAAATATCCGTTTGCGCCCACCTTTTTTTGGAAAAATAAGCAGTTTCGTTGTCTAGATATACTCAGCAAAGTACTAAATCGCAAGAGAAAGCCGGTTTTTGAAAACTAGTAAAACAAGAATTAATTAGAAACCTTCTTTTGATAAGGAAGTAAAACTAGTTGGATAATATATAACTTATTAGATATTTTAGGGTGCAGTATGGGTGGATATTTTGACTTCGTGTTCTACCTCGCGCTGGCAGGTTCGATAAAACACTGCAGTCCAGACAAAATATCCACCCGTACTGCAACCAAAAATGTCTAATAAGGTATAATATGTGTTTGGAGACAAAGAAATAATTATTTTTGTACGACATTGTCTTGTCATAGAGCCAGAACTCACTAAATGTCAAACCCAAAAACGCTCAGCTTTGAGGAATCGAAGTYCAGGTGACTTTGTCCCTCATTGTAAACCAGATGGGAGCTTTGACAATGTGCAGTGCCACGGTGACGAATGTTATTGCGTAGACAAAAACGGAAAAGAGATATATGGAACGCGAGCAAGACTTGAAGCCGGACAGCCACAATGTTCAGCAGCAGGTTAGTATTTTTTTCAAGACTAGAAGAACGTCCAAACGCTTCCTTGTTAAAATTAGATTTGCAGTAAGTTAAATTTATTTCATTTGTTTGTAGCCAAAAAGGCGACGCCATGTCAGGTAGCATACACAAGGGCCCTTGATAATCGTGCTGTTGGCGCACACGTCCCAAGGTGTAAAAGTGACGGACGATACGAGGAAGTCCAGTGTGAAGGTTCTTCTGGATACTGCTGGTGCGTCGATGCTCAAGGACAAGAATTACCGGGTACAAGAACAAGACGTAGCATCAAATGCCCTCATCCTGGTAGGTGACAACTCTTCTACTTCTACTCATATCAAGAAATGTTAAAGAATGACAAYCCTTAAATGTCAAGTGTCTACTGCTGCAGCTATTGCATTCCTCCCAATACTTTCCCTCTTTCCCCTTTCGACCACCACCGTTATTTAATCCCAGTGCGATTACTTTCTCTCATACCTTCTCGTTTGTTAAAATCGCAGTCAATTGAATTTCATTGCCATATCTGCACAGGCAAACGTTTGTCACAACCAACATCATCGATCACCAACAAAACACGATCACGCCTTCACTTGTCCTTTTTACGTATCACCATCACATAACACCAAAATCATCCTGTTACCATTTACAGATCACAAGCAGACCAAATGTATGAAGCGCTATATAGACTTGTCACGCAATCCAGTTTCTGGTCAATACATCCCCTGGTGTAAACCTGATGGCAGTTTCCACTGGATCCAGTGTTACAGCTCATATTGCTTCTGCGTAGACAAGGACGGTAGCGAGTTGAGAGCAACAAGGCTTGACAACGCCGCAGGAAGACCAAAGTGTACCGAAAGAGGTAACGCATTATGAGCATTATTTCGTTAAAGARTTTTTTTTAAAGAAAATAATAAAAAATTACAGCAGAACGGCCCATACCTGTATACCAAAACTTTAAACCTTACAATAACAAAATAGACTTTAGTCCTTATTGTTTTCTTTCTATATGTGCAGGTGGAATGTTAACCCCTTGCCAAAGAAGATACCAACAGGCTCAGGCCAACCCAGGAGCCTACGCACCTCGATGTCGAGCTGATGGAAGCTTTGAAGAAGTACAATGTGACCGTAGAAACATGTTCTGTTGGTGTGTTGATCAATTTGGTAAYCAAATCCCGAGGACTCGAAGCAGGGAACAAATACGCTGCCCTCGACTCGGTAATATGAACATTTTGAAAAATATAGCGAACAAAGAGTGACATTGTTTTAAGGTCCGATGTTTCCATATCTCATCGCCGTCAACGTACGATTGACATGGGTGATACGATATTTTGAATAGCAATGTAAAAACGTGGATGGAAGGAAGGGGACTTCTAATAATTGAGCTTCAAAATGGGTTTTTCTTCAAAAGAGTAAAATATTTTCGCTGCAATTAATTTCTGCTATTTTATATATTTCTAGGTGGAGTTGTCCCTCAATGTTGGAAGGAATACCAAAAAGCATTGCGAGATTATCGACCTGGTCAGTTTGTACCATGGTGCCAAAGTGATGGAAATTTCCGTCCCATTCAATGCCACGGATTATTCTGTTACTGCGTAGACAAAAATGGACAAGAGATATCAGGAACTAGGACTTACATTTACACTGGCAAGCCACAATGCACTTATAAGGGTGAGTACACATACCTACTATACAATAACATGGCTGACTTGAACAAAGTTAGAAACCTATAAATTTAGCAACTATAATGAAAGGACGACGTTTTCTATTCATATTGGTGTTAGTAGTCGTACGATCCGTGCACTGATGCTCCAGGTGGAAGGGGGTAGTGCGTCCCAATCATTCATCAATTAAACTTCGTTCAGTGACGTGAAAATAAAACACAAATGAGCAATGGCACCTCATATTTAATAATGTATATTTTTTCGTTTTGCCTTGATATTAGCTGGTACACTGACTAAATGTCAAAACCGTTACTGGGCAGCCATCAACAACCCAACACCAGGAGTATACACCCCTCAGTGTACACGAAACGGGGCTTATGAACCAGTGCAGTGCAGTGTATCATCAGGAGAATGTTGGTGTGTAGGACCTAATGGAAACGAAATACCCAATACGCGTTCCAAATCAGCTATAACATGCCCGAACATCCGTGAGTATACCTTCTTTATTTTTCAAACATTTTTACAGACACACAAAAAAAAAAAAAAAAAAAAAAAAAATGAAGCGAAACAAAGGGCTTCGAGTAAATGACGCGCGAATCAATTTTACTTGAGAAGCTTTAATTAATCGAAAATGTCCCGCAATAGACCTCTTTAGCTTGGACGTCATGGTTTGCCCATTTCGGACCACTATGTGTCATTACCTTGAGTATAAATTCTTCGTTTGGATGCAAATGAAACAAGAAATCCTATTCTTGAGCTCAAARAAATRATACGTGGTCTGAAATAAAAAGGAAAAACCAAGTTTAAGAGGTCTATTGTCTGCAACCTAAATCTATTTGTTTCCAAATTTTAGATAAAAAGGAATTAGTAAAGGGAAGGGGACTTCGCTAAGAGGGAAAAGCAACCACTTCTTACTTCCCAGCTCTCCTCTTTATGCACCAATTTAAAATTATTCTTTTTTTACTTTAGTCTCGCGAGGACCGGCACTTGACATTGGCTTTGTGATAGACTCTTCTTCACCAGTCAACTGGGCTCAGGTGCAAAACTTTGCCAAGTGGGTCGTAGGAAAAACCACTGTCTCTGCTTACGGGGCACATTTTGGATTCATACCATACGCAGCAACGGCCAAGATAGCATTTGCCTTCAATGCTTTGTCAGGGTCTAGTTATAAGTCCGAAGCCGTTAATACTCGTATTGATAACATTCTGCAAGTTGGTGGTAATGAAAGACGACTTGATGTTGCTTTGAACTTGGCGTACAATAGTTTGTTCACTACACAAGGAGGAGCAAGACGTGAAGCTAAAAAGGTACCCTTTTGATGGCAGTGATAAATTAATTTATGCTTATCATAAGCTACAGGCAGCACTTAGCAGCATTTACTTAACGTAACAAAAATTCAAGTGTTCAATTAAGTTTGTTAATAAAAGGTTAACAGAAACAACGAACCCCGTGTCATAAGCCAAAGTCAGGAAATTAACCTATCTTTAAAAGACGGTTAGTTATCTCTTAGTCTCTTATCTCTTATATATTAATGGCGCCCAAAAGTTCATCATCTTATCTGTCTGAGTTAATTAAAATCAACTTCACAAATCTGATAAAATAAGCCGCCTTCTTACATAGAAAAAACATTATTAGTCAAGTAGATAAATATGATTAAATTTYAGGGAATGTAATATGTACACGATGAAAACCTTCTCGATCAGGGTTAACCTTGAATCTCTTTTCGCACTATTTTATATTTATATATCTAACAGAACTGCAAGATCTTTTGTAGCCCTTCTCTAACCACCCCGCCCGTCTATTGATCTCTAGATACTCGTGGTTTTCATTGGTGGTCCGCTATCAGCTCAATATGCTGCAGCTCGGGCTCAAGTGACACGGCAACTTCAAGCTCTAGGAGTTCAAATAAAGACCATCAATGTCGGCTCACAGTTGCCACCAAACTCCTACCCCACTGTTGAAAACCTATTGCCAGGTTAGTCAGAGTATTTTGTCAGTATACTACATCACAATATCAATATATCACTTAACACCTTCAAGAAACAATTGACGGCATATTCATTTAAAAACGCCTATAGTTACTTATGACACCAGATTTCATATTATTTTTTACTATATATTTTTTAGATTATTAGATATGTCATTGATGATGATATTGAGGATAGTGATGATGATGATGATAATGATGATGATAATATTAATGATAATAACGATTAAGTAGGTAGAGGTTTTGTAGAATAAAATGATAGTATTTTTAAAAGTATTTACTAAGCTTACATAAATGGTAGTTCAATATATAACATCAGCAATTGTAACTAGAAGCTCAATATAAGCATCTGTGAMGTTAGTCATGAACTCATATTTCATTTATTTCAATAGCAAAGGTCACGTTATTTATCATAATATTAATTGAATATTTAATCAATAGTTGCGTCAAGCTGTATCCAGCAATACTATCAAGCCATACGTCAATACTCAGCTGGGGCTTTTATACCTCGCTGCAAACCAGATGGAAGCTTCGAGATGATGCAGTGTCATAAATCGTATTGCTACTGTGCTAACGAAAACGGAATAGAAGTAGCAGGAACACGCCTAGATGTCAAGTATGGCACTCCACATTGCCTACATCTGGAGCCTGGAGCAACCTGTGAGAGATGTGCACCCGGGACGTCACCAATAAGTAAGAGAAATACTTAGTTATTGAACGCAGGTTTTAAATATTTGGAAATCCGTCGCTCAAGCTTAAAGTCGGTAGCAAGTGAGGGGCCCCCTGAAACAACCTCCCCCAATTCCTCTCTAACACATTATTATCGTTAAAAAACAACATAAAGTTATAAGAAATTTAAAATATCCAGGTCCAAATAGGAGGATGAGATGATACTGGGAATGAGTTGCCAAATTGGCTACAATTCAATGTAAAAAATAATACGAAGTAAAAATAATGTTTGTGGTAAATAGGAGCAACATTGTCAGAATGCCAAAAACGACGCCTTTCAAGGGCTGAGTCACATGTACCCAACTGCAAACAAGATGGAACATACGAAGAAGTACAATGTGATCGGGTGACAAAACAGTGTTGGTGTGTGGATAACACAGGAAGAGAAATATGGGGAACAAGGAGCAAGTCCGACATCAGATGTGCCCCAACAGGTAAGTGGCCTACATTTGCTATCATCAAGTATCCTTTAAATTTAATAATTTAGAGAAAGTTGAGGACCGGAGTGAGCAAGGTCGTCATATAGTATAACATTATTTTGTCTAATTATCATTATGTTTGTAAAGACCCTTGCTTTGTTGTTCTCTTGCTAATATCCAGGCACCCCACGAATCGTTTGCAATGCAAGTATCTAGTAAGCTATATTATTGTACTACGCTACGTACGTGGTCCAGTTACGTTCTGAGAGAAAAAAAAGAGAGAATGAAATCAACTTCCATGAAACGTATCTAATTTCAGGTGCTTCACTCACAAAATGTCAACTTCATCATCAAAGAGTGCTACGCTCATCAGATCCCTCTTCATACATCCCTCGCTGTACCCCCGAAGGTGACTACGTCAAACAGCAATGCTGGGGTGCAGAGTGCTTCTGTGTTGATCAGACGGGTAGAAGAATGGATGGTACTTCGGTGAAAATATCCGAGGGTACACCAAACTGCGAAAAGAAACGTAAGTTTAACTAACAATATTGAAAAACGTATCGTTGTACTCAAACCGAGGGTTTCCGATATGAACGACTCTAAATGATAGAAAAATGAATGCATCTGTTAAAGTCCGGCTTGAGGGTGGGGCTGTACGGCATTTTTTCCCTAAGAAATTATAGAGTCGTTTTATTTGATTTCCTTTTTTATGGTTCAAGTTCAACGGCGAGAAAAGAATACAATATTTTCTCGTCATTTAACCTGATTTATAAAAATAGTTACTATAAATGTAATAATAACACTTCTAAAATATAGTCAAAGGAATAGAAAAAAAGCAGAATAGATTAGCTATTTTTTTTTTCATTAAAGCTATCTTAATATATTGTTGTAGTCCAAAGGAGACCCCTGGATCTCGCCATTTTGGTTGACACATCAGCTAGAATTCCAACATCTCAATGGCAAGCTGTCCTAAACTTCGTCAAGACAATATTGGATGGTTTTGAGGTTTCTAATAACGGCACTCATGTTGCTCTCGTACCCTTTGGTGAAAAAGCAAGCGCAACCTTATTCTTCAACAAAATCAAGCATTGGAGCAGGGCCAAAGTAAAAGTATACATCGATGCGATAAAGCAGACGCCAGGCTCTCAGCGGAGAGTGGATTTAGCTCTTCTTCATGCCAAAACTAAAGTATTCCAAGAATTCGCTGGAATGAGACCTGAAGCAAGAAAGGTAAACTACCCATGCATRATTAGGTTCGCCGACATAATTTCGTTTCGTTTTTAGCGATCAATTCAATAAACGGAAAGAGCGCGCGTGTGCAAGTTGATGTCGCACGGGAATAGGGTAGGGCAAAATTTAAACTGCATCCGGTTACTAAAAATAGCCCAACCGGGAATTTACATGACGCTCGCGTTATTAAGAAGTTCCCCTCTCTCATTTATGCTCTCTTGTTCCAACCTATTCGAATCTGTGGTTGGAAGTCGTTTACTCTCGCCACGTTAGATGATGTTTTGCCTTTGATATTCTGTTCTCTGCACCACCATCATTTACTGTTCAAATGAGAATTATAAGTTAAGATTAAATAGCTGTAAATTCTCTAATTTGTTTTTCAGGTAATTTTGACGATTGTAGTTGGCAGACAATCTGCAGGCGTTACTCCATTAACAGACCTTGTAAGTGACTTGGAACAAAGCGGCGTAAGCCTGTACTCCATTGGCGTTCGAGGAGCAGCTTCTCTTCAGAGACTACRAATGATGGCATCAGGACCTCAATTTGCCCGAGAAGCCACCATTGCAAACATGGCAGACCAAGCGCCCTATTATATTAATTCTATCAGAAGAAGTAAGTACTTGGATAAACTAATGCACAACTTCTGTAAATTGCGTCGGATGGTGGACATCTATTTGTCCTACAGGAGCCCGTTTTGGGTAGCTACAGTTACATATAAACCGAGAAAACTACGCAATATATATATGGGGGAGGTGAATCAGGAGTAGTAAAAGCTCTTGTTTGTAACATATTGTTATGATATTCCTATTTACAAATTTAGAAAAAGATGTTCGGCCTTTTGGAACCTGATTATTTAATTGATAATGCCGATCCGATGAAAAAGTGTATTATAAATTTCATGTGCCCGATATGGGATTCGAACACGCGCCCACTAATATATCAACGCCAGAGAGGCGTACATCTTTCTCATTACTATCATTATTATCTTTGCGGTTTTTGCTGACAATTTTTCATTGRCTGTGACAAATTCGTGTCTACCCAAATGCTTTGGCCAGTCTCCGATCAGGAGATGAGCACCTATACTTCCTGAATTGAACAAAATGCTTTTTACTTATGAGAAAGTCGATAGATTTTGAGGCTATGGCTTCATGGTTTCCCATTACTTGCAGTGTTCCCCCCCCCCCCCCCTTCTTTCTGTTTTTTATAACGTTCTTATTCGAGTGTACTAATGTATTTATCAGAGATTAGGGAAAGCAAAAAAGAATCATAATGAAGTAAATGACACGCGTTCTGAGATGAAGCACGATAAATTCAGAGGGGCTACTTACTGACCATTCGTGCAAATTAAACTGCTAATGTCCTATTGTTCCAGGTCTAAGCCCAAGAATGGACATTGGATTTGTGGTTGATGCCTCAGCTAGAGTCAACTGGCCTCGAGTAATCCAATTTGCTAAAGCAATGCTTCGCCAGTTTCACATCTCTAACGATGGAGACCATGTCGGGTTTATAACTTACAGCTTAACCCCAGCTCTTGGTTTCCGATTCAATACTCTCAGTGGGAGCGGTTACACAGTTAGCGGAGTCGAAGGTCTTATTGACAAACTTGTACGTCTACAAGGTCAAGGCAGAAGACTGGACTTGGCATTAGATATGGCTAATCAACGATTGTTCAGTGCAGCGGGTGGTGCAAGRCCTTATGCAAAACAAGTAAGGCTTCGTGTTAAACGTCGAATTTCACATAAGCCAAATCTAATGACATCAAGAAAGACCGCCTTGTTATCCATTGTTTGAATGAACATAAATGAATTTACCATAAAATAGAAAGGTCAACACTATAATTGCCTGTAATAATAAGGCGTAGGCAAGGCGTAGTAATAGGCCACTTTAGGAAATGAGTGAAGGACTGGGAAAGAGTATATAGAAGGTATTGATAATCAATCTTATTAAAAATATATTTCCATGACGAGAAAGAGCACATCGAAATKAACAGGTTTCTGCAGTTTGGCTTCAATTTCCTAAGTAACAGCTAAATTATAAGCAATCAAAAACATCAAAAATTGCAAAGAAATGTATGTTTACTAGCTAGGGATAAGTTAGTCCAGTCCCAGACCCTTTTTAGCCCGCTCCGTCGAGCGCCTGGTCGCGCTAGGGACAAGCGTACTTAGTAACCATACATTTCTTTGTAATATTTGAGATGTTTGGGAGGTTGCTAAAATRAAGGTATGAAACCCAAAATCTTGAAACTCCAGAAGTTTACTAATTTCGATGTACTTTTTCTTGTTATGGTGTTTATTTTTTAACTAATTCTAAAAACTCGCTCCCAGTCCCAAGCTCGTTTCAAAAGTGGCCAGTTGGGAATTACATCTTATTTCACTTTTTTTGATTTCCAAACTTGATAAACCGGCACCCGGTTAGCTAAGTTGGTAAGAGCGTCGATAGGTCGTGGTTCAAGCCTCGGCCGGACCAACACTCAGGTCTTAAAATAACCGAGAAAGAAGGTGCTACCCACATTTACATCTACATCTGCAAATGGTTAGACCTTCACGTGGTTCGGATGACCACATTAAGGGCGGTCCCGTCCCTAATTAACTATAGACGTTAAAAGAGGACCACGAGTTTATCAGTTAAAATTATTGTCAAGTGTTATCCTCTATAAACAAAGCTAATTTAATTTATTTTTATTTATTTATCCCAGGTGGGTAGGATTTGATAGGTTTATCCCTTGATTAGAGGGTCTTTCTTCGTGGTCCTCTGGTTTTCCTTTCTCCGCAAAACCTAACACGGCAAAATCCATTTCGATCTATGAGTTAGCCATGTACAAGTGTTTTTTTTTTTTTGTTGTTTTGTTTCGTTTTGTTTAATATCCTAGTGTTTCAGGGAACCGATAAAATAGCGGTACATAGGATCGAAGGGAATTACTTCTAGTGTTTATCCTGAATGAGTAGTATCGATTCGGGGTRTACCCTTATCCCCTTCATAATCTTTGGTTTACAACGACTACAGGCTAATATTGGGAATTAAAAATTCTACATTTTTTCCTGTTATAGGTCCTCATTTTACTCTCAGGCGCTTCCTGGTCTCCACAACACCAACAAAGCATACTAGCTGCTTCAGCAAGACTTGAACGCAAAGGAGTTAAATTGTACTCTGTAGCAATTGGCGCAGTCAACCCTTCCGAACATTATAACGTCACGAAAAACGAGAACAGATACTTCCGTACAATTGACTATGACGAACTAGAAAGACTCGCTCCAAGGCTTGGACACAGTATTAACAAACGTGAGTTTGCGCAAATCATCGCATGAATAGCTTTGCTTTGCATTTGTAGGTCATTACTCTTTTTCTACTCAGACAACAATATGCTAATAGTCTTTGATTTCCACAGAGCCAATGATGCATCTGTGTCAAAAAGATAATCAAGAACAAAATAGGCTGAGTCAACCTGGTGAACATATAGCAAAATGCAAGAGAACAGGCATGTATGAAGAAATACAGTGTGAGCCATCCTCAAGACGATGTTGGTGTGTCGATCCAAATGGAAACGAAGTCCCTGGAACCAGGAGTAATGGAAGAATCAGTTGTCCAGCAATTGGTAAGTACGGCGGGGAAATAATTGAATGCAGGCCCATCGCTAGGACCTTGAAAGGGGAGGTTTGTTTTTCTACCAATCTTGCATTGGTTTTGCCATTTCTTGAAAAACTAAACTAGCGCTAAACATTATATCGTACTCCTACGAAAGTGGAGAGAGAGAGAGAGAGAGAGGGGGGGGGATAAACCATCGAACCACCCCTAGCGACGGACCTGGAATGAACAGTTTGACGGATGATCAAATGAACAAACAGACGGGTTGACTCTCCGTACAGTCAAAAGCATCGGGCAGAAGTCTATTGTCCTATGCGACATGAACTTACAGTTGAGTGATTTTCAAAGATCAACATATCAACGGAGAAGCAGTTTAGCAGAATAAACTACATAAAAGCCTGTTATGAGTTGATGTCTTAGCGAATTTCGCCGGATTTAAAAAAAAAATCGTTAAGGAAAGGCGCTTTCGTTACTGTTTAACTATGCTGGTAGCCCTACTCTTTTCACTCAACAAGAAAATAAAAAGGCTCATATTTTTACTGACGACTTTAAAAAGTTAAAATTTAAAATGTTATCACCAAAGCAAGATCAATTACATCTTGACTAATGAAGACTGTGGCATATGCAGTTGAAATATCTATAATTTTTTTTGCTCTGAAACCAGAAATTTATATATTGATAATCAATACTTTTACAGGAGAAAGCCTTTCACACTGTCAGAAGCAGTACCAAAAAAAGAATAGAAACTGGATGCTGGCAAAGCGCCAGCTACCATGGTGTAAGCAAAACGGTGAATATGAGACAAAACAGTGTTACAGAGATTACTGCTTCTGTGTTAATCAGTATGGCGTTTATCGAAGCAAAACCAAAGTGACCACTTCAGAAGGGAGAGCAGTATGCGGAAGAACAGGTAAAAATAGTTGTAAAATAATTCCAGGGTCACGCGTGACACATTCTAATGTAAGAGGTCCTAATCTTTCTTTTTTTAATTGCTCTTTTCTGTTTGGTAGCACATATATAAAAACCATCAAGCAATAAATAAGATTTTAAGCTTGCTAGATCCATTATGGAATAGATTGATCACATGACCCTTTCCTCGTTTCAAATAAATTCCGAAGATAATATTTGTACGCTGCTTGTATAGGTTTCCTTGTTAATCAAATTTGTATATTGTCTCCAAAGCACGCTTTTTTTGAACAATATCATAACAAAACTAAATACTTATCTTTATGTCATTCATAGGACCAACAAAATGCACAACGAAGCGAACTCTTGGATTTCAAAATCCTGGGGCCTTCGTGCCAAAATGCAATAAGGATGGAAGCTTTAAAGAAACACAATGCCACGAGTCTTACTGCTTCTGCGTAAACAGAGATGGAAAAGAAATCCCTGGCTCTCGTGTGGATGTTGGGAGAGGGAAACCAAATTGTATGCCATTTGGTAAGCCATTTGATAAGCCATTGGTAACAAAAACTAGTTGCACTCAAAATAGTATCAAGTTGATCATGCTAAAGTTGATTTGATACAATAAATGTATAAAATTTCAAGTCCATACTTGACTTGGGATCATTGTTTTGATTCAACCAAATTTGGAACCAAGGTCTATTGCTTGGTCTATGGTATACATATATTTCAACGCAGATTGGTGAAGGTGTTATATTTCCATGGCATTGTTTTGCATTGAATTTGGCATACCAAGACAGGCCCGAACTGCAATTTGCAATATTCAATTTGCATGGATACCAATCAGCAAAAGACGGGACACAACGAATTAAAGCTTTTCGTAAACTTTGTCCTTTGTCTGCACGATTTCTTTTTCGGCGTAATTTCCCTTGAGCTGACATTAATTTCATACAAATATAATACATTTTAAGTTAATARCCAACATGCAACAAAACTTCCACCAAATTGAGTATGCATCGTTTTTTGGAAAACTTGTAGTTAATAGACATGGAGAATAAATTTAAGCAAGAGAAAGGGAAGGGAAGGGAAGGGAAGGAGGAAGGGAAGGGAAGGGAAGGGAAGGGAAGGAGGAAGGGAAGGAGGAGATGATAGATGGAAAAGAGGATTGAAAAGGAAAAAAAGGAAAGGAAACAGATGTTTCAAAATAGAAGAACGATATGAACGGGGGAAAAAATGCAAAACAAAAGAAAGAAAAACCAGCAAACCAAGACTGATATTCGCTGCCGTAAGGGAGCTAAAATAATCCATGCTTTACATTAACCTCGTTAGACTGATTTCATTTTTAGACTCCGTTTTGACCAAATGCTTGAAAGATTCCCAAAGTTCACTGCTATCCGGGGACCAAGTGCCATGTTGTCAAAGAAACGGAAGTTACGAACCAGTTCAGTGTGACTCCGCTACCAATGAATGTTGGTGTGTTGATGAGTCTGGTAGTGAAGTCAATGGTACTAGATCCACTGAATACGTATTATGCAGAGGCAAGTTTGAATTTAGAAAAACAATATGCAATTCTGATAATTTGTCATCTCTAGTTATTTCAGTGTTATCTATTTCAATCGGTGTAGCCTGACAGATTACGCTAAACTAAATTTTAAATTCTTAAAATCCACAGGTAAAACAGTATTAACAAACTGCGAAAGACAATATCAAGAATACTGGAGGAATACTCGTCAAGGACGCTATCTACCTCGATGCACTTCAGATGGAAAATACAAAAGGGTTCAGCACTATGCTGGTATATCATTCTGTGTTGACCAAAATGGTATCGCAAGAAGAGGGTTTGAAGTTAACACCTTGAGGGATGGCTCAGCCCTGTGCAAGGATATCTGTGAGTATCGATCCTCTATTAGTATATAGGATCTAAATTTACTCTACCTCTAGTAATTAGTACCTATATTAGAAAAGATAATTAGCAAAAAACTATTGTGAGCTGGACCGGTGTTTCTAAGGAAACAGTAATGATAAAAGGGTAAATTTTACACCGTGAAAAAATGAAAAAATTTACTGACCTTTCGGACGCTAGTCCTTCGTCGGAGTCAATCTTAGAAGTAGTAGTTCTGCTTCATCATTAGTTGGGTGGAGTGCACACATTTAGTATACACTCTGATGTTATTGAGTATTTTTTAAATATCATTATAGCTCAAGAGCCCACCCAGTGCCAGAACGAAAGAAGGAAGGCTTTGCTCAACCCAAGAACTTCCGAATCTGATGTGATTATCAGCTGTCAACCGAATGGTTCATTTAGTCCTATACAGTGCGACAAGTCTGTAGGTGACTGTTGGTGTGCTGATAAGAATGGCGTTGAAATTCCTGGGACAAGAACAACTGGAATYGTGCGATGCCCTCATGATGGTCAGTGTTTCAGCTCATCTTATTTCATCGTTATCGATCTTTTTTTCTTTCTTTTTTTTTAATTATTTGTTTTGTCACGTGATATGTAATATCTTGCGGCTGTATGAAAAAAAAAAAAAAAACAAAACAAGAATTAGCCATACACTGAAGCAACCCCTGCATTGGGTGGATCAAAGTGAGGGCCACAGCTATGTAGATCGTGGAATTTTAGCGTGCTGCTTTTGAGGAGGGATCAGATGATAACTGGTAAACCCTGAGAAAATCCCTGAATTAAGGGAAAGACAAACTTTACTACGACCGAAGCCCTAGGTCGAGAAAATCCGGAGATAATACATTTATCGTGTCAAGTTCACACGCTATTGGGGATTGGCTGAAAATCCTCAGCGAATCAGAGATTGGATAGTGAGCGAAATGTATAACAATATGCTATAAATATGTATTATGCCGACAGATAAATACACACCGTGTGAAAAGAGATTCCTTACAAGACGCGGGGCATCCTTAGGGTACTGGTCTCATACTCCAGTTTGCAACCGTGATGGCAGTTATCGTCAAGTTCAGTGCTCCCACATGTCTGGTTTGTGCTGGTGTGTGGATAGAAACGGCAATCCACTTCTGGAAACAGTTGCAAGAGGAATACCTAATTGCCAAAGTCCAAGTAAGTATAGAGGTGTTGCTCCATCACGTACCGGCGCCCATAATGCAGCTTAGTATGCCTGTAGCCGGTTAGATGGTACATCAATAAAAATCCTCTGCTTTGTAAGTCGATTGTATTTTTCCTCTCATTTAACATGGTTGCCGTCACGTGATCGTGCAAAACCTCTTTTACATTGCTTAAGTGAATTTCTAACCACATTAATTTTGTTTTGGTTCAACGACGAGAACTATTACAGTAAATAAGATGATTCTATGTCGATCTTGTAACTCCTATTTACTCTGACAATTAATTCACGTCTCTCTTAATTCTTCCAAAAAGTGAAATCCACTATTATGTGTCCTACTTCAACGAGGTTTTGTGTCGAGCATCTTTTAAGAAAAARTGCATCACAGTAACGCGATACCATTACTGTAACTTGCAGGTGAACGCTSTTTTGAAAAACGAAATTACAGTTAGTGCAGTTACAGCTAGTAGTGCTAAATTGCCGTTTTAATATATATATTTTTTAATAATAGAGCTATTCACTCCCTGCCTCGAACATAAGCATCGTGTGCAAGGCCATACCGGGTTGGCTCCTTTAGGTTCATATGTACCTCAGTGTAAAGACGATGGCAGCTATTTGAGGACACAATGTCATGGCGGTACGCCTTATTGCTGGTGCGTTGATGAAGATGGTAAAGAGAGACCAGGAACCAGACAAATGTCTCGACCTACCTGCGATAAGGGTAGGTGAAGTCAATTTCACTAAAGTACTTTAAGTATTAGTATACGTACGGGGGGATGTGAAACAATAGAGAGTTTTAGCTATCTAAAACTCTCTAATTTTATAAACGACTCGTCAAAGTTAATCCGAGAAAGTAGGCTGGCTTTGGAAAGTAAGGAGGACTGAACAGGACCTCACAAAATCATGGGCCTATATCAAATTATTTGAGCACAACTCAAGTTTTGATATTACTATTTTTGAGCATTAAGAATAAATTAGAAAAATTATCCTTCTTCTTCCTCTCTCCTCTTTATCCAAAATCATTTTATGTTAATTTTGACGTTAAAAACTTTCAGGAATTTCTTTTGTTTTCTTTCTTTTACTAATGGTGAAATTAACTATCTTTTTTTCAGATCCCCTTTCCAGAAAACAGAACGTTGACATTGGGTTCCTTTTCGATGTCTCAGGGAAAGTAAAACCAGAAGATTTTCCCAAACAAATTGCATACGCCAAAGCTATATTAAAGGAATTTTCTATCGCTGAAGGAAGAACCCATGTCGCAGCCGCGTCATATGGTGCACTGCAACCCGTATCTAGTGCTGTCAGACACTTTTCTTTTAACAACCCATTGTCAGGTAGCACAAGGACTCCATCCAATGTCAATAATCTCTTTAATAAAATCAAACACCAAAATGGACCATCAAGAATTGGACGTGGTTTGCAACTTGTTAAGCAGCAACTATTTAGCGCCCTTGGAGGAATGCGTGTTGACAGCGAAAAGGTAAGAGGATTTCAACATTTTACTGTTATAAGGAGCAAAAGTAATAAAAAGTACTTCCGGAGTAGATTTTCAAAAATATTTTAAAATAAGGATAATTTTCACCTTTGCATTCATAAACATAATATGATGCAAGTCGGCTTTTAGCAGGCAAATCTAAATACCTATCTAATACATTCTATTTTACCGTTTTATGTAATCATAAACGATGATCATAAAGTCGTAAAAAAAATTATGGGAAGCTTTTCGCAAATACTTTCAATAATACTAAGTGTACGAAGCTGCTATCTTATTGCTCCACAGTCTCTAATTACATTCTAATATAGATGGACATAGAAAATGATAAATAATGATAACAGAACTTGCAACTATCCGATTACTGACAAACTGTAATGCTAAGATAGTACAGTCTGTTATGAACAACCGATCAGATTTGCGCAAAGTGCAATAGTTCTAATATAGATGGACATAGAAAATGATAAATAATGATAACAGAACTTGCAACTATCCGATTACTGACAAACTGTAATGCTAAGACAGTACAGTCTGTTATGAACAACCAATTGCAAAGTACAATAGTTACAGTGGCGGATCCAGGACTCTAAGAGGGGGGGGGGGGCATTTTTGCAAATCTCGACACAACAATAACGTTCTCTTGCATCATCATTTTTCCCATGAGCAACATCACTGGCCTAGGGGCGCTCCTGATAAGGATAACCTATCCACCAGTCCCATTTCGTATTAAATCTCATGCAGTTAGTACCATACTTTTATTTACTTATTTAAAAAAATCAAAAAAATCCAAGATACCAGCCGGTGGGGGGGAGGGGGGTTCATTTGCACCCAATGAACCCCCCCCCCCCTGAATCCGCCACAGAGTTACGAATAAGAACTGAGTCGCATTACTATTGCAGGTGTTAGTTGTGTATCTTGGTGGCACCCAAAAAAGAGATGGCAGGTCAATAGCAATTGACCAAGCCACAACAGGATTAAGATCAAATAATGTGAAGATCTATGTCTTGGGCCTAGTACCGAATTACGATCCCCAAATTGCAAGACAAGTTGCGTCGAACAAGAGGAACGTGTATCCTGAAAATCAGAACGATCAAATGAAAGCTGCTATTGTCAAGGGTTTGCAACCTTTAGTACCTGCTACTTTACCGACTGGCTTTCCTGGTAAGTTCTGTGGGCATTTGTAGCTCGCCTCACATAAATGATGCCCATGCAAGGGGAAGGGGTATCTGGGATATAAGCTGAAGGGTGCATTTACGAATTCAAGAATGCGTTCTGAAGTGTTCTGAAGTGAAATAACCTAAAAGTGTACAAAACCATATATCACAGTTATAAGAATGACTTTCAAACGAAAAAACAAAAAACAGCAGTGCTTTCACAACAGCATTTTTGTATAATAAAGTCGTCTTGGCTTTACGTCATATCATTTGCATATTAATATTTCTAATGTTTATATCCCTGAAAAAAAAAATTCCACATAGAAAAGTGCTGCAATCATACTACTAAATTGTTCATATATAAGTTATTTTGAAAATATTTTTTTCCTTGATATACACTTTAAGGAAGTGATAACTATAATCTAATAATATAATGTTAATTTTAGCTTTGGTTTATTTATTTTTGTTTGTCTACAGATCCAACACCATCAACCCCATGTCGCACACAAGTTTTCGATTCAATGAAAGTTCCTTTTACAACTGGGCGTTTCGTTCCTCGGTGTAGCAGGGATGGTAATTTTGAGGAGGTACAGTGCAGTGAATGGTCAGGAGAATGTTGGTGTGTCAACAATAACGGAGCAGAAATCGAAGGGACAAGATCTAAAGACTTAGTCACTTGCTCTAGACAAAGTAAGTATTTTTTACCACAAATGTAAATTACGAACACAAGTCACCAAATAAGATGCATTAAAAAAAAAGAAGCTTTTATTGATTGAAATAAGATGAAAACTTTCGGCCATGACAAGAAAAGAAGTAATAAATGCTGGTCAGTTCTTACTCAACAATGTTATAATCGAATCCATATCTACTGATATTGATATCTACTGAACCTTTTCTCGTTATCATGTTAAAGTTTTATTATACCGAACGTGGATTCGAAACTGGAGTAATTAGCTTAACTTGTTTAACCGCCTATTGACTCTCCAATATCCAACAGGAGAACGATTTACTGATTGTCAAAGAGAATACCAGAAGTCAGAAAGGGAAAGACTCGTGCCTGGTCGCTTTATTCCTCGTTGTACACCGAACGGTCGTTATGAAGACATACAGTGCCAGGAAGCAACTTGCTACTGTGTCAACAAAGACGGACATGAAATTCATGGCACTAGAACAACCCTGCCAGAAAGACCAGACTGCTCCAATATAGGTAGGTACAACCCCTTAATATGCTGATGTAAATAAGTAAATCAGTGTACGTCCGAGTCTATGCTTTTTCTTCAGGGCAATCACTATAGAGTTAAACTGTTCAGTATCAACCTTTGTCAATTATATATATTGGTCTTGTCTATATARCTTTCTTTTCCTACAGCCAAATTAAGTTTCTGCATAATTGAGGGAATGATTGTTTTCTTCAAAAAATGTTGTTGTATTTCAATAGGAGATAAACCAACAGTATGTCAATACAAATACCAAGTATCCTCCCAGAACGCCGTGCCCGGTGCCTTTGTACCTCAGTGCTCACCAAATGGTGGATATGACAAAATTCAATGTAGAGGAGCCTCATGCTACTGTGTGGATAAGAGAGGAAACGAAATACCAGGAACTACGCTTCTAATTGCCGACGGAACACCGAAGTGTGATAACCCAGGTATTTATTTATTCTAAATTTAATGGGTGAGGAATTGTCATGAAAAATATCGAATAACGCTCAATTGCAAAATCATTGTGAGGTTCAAAAACAACAACAACAACAACAACAACAACAAACATAGAACCCGAGACCGAAAATGTACAAGTACGTTAAATAAATGTATCTTTTGATTTCTCTATACTAAATATCATAATCAATACTGCTCTTGTATTGAAACAGTACAGAATATCCATCACTACCAATCGAGTAAATACCAAATAATTGTGTGAGATGACCAACAGAATATGAACTTTCGAGTTCATTGCTCGCCAAGTGGTATTGATTTTGAGTTGCAGCCTTGAATGTAATTTGGTAATAATTATTTATTTTGACTGTTTTATGAAAACTCTTTCATTACAGGAGAACAGCTTACACCATGTCAGCGTATTTTCCAAGAAAACTGGAAAAACTCCGCCCAAGGGCGATATGTTCCTCAGTGTGACAAGAATGGCAACTTTGAGCCTGCTCAGTGTCATGGACCGTATTGCTTTTGCGTAGATGAAAACGGAGCAGAAATTAGAGGGACAATGGTGCAGCATTCTTTGTCTCTGCTACCATACGATGATAAGTGTAAAAATATCCGAGGTAAGGAAGACTCTGCATTCAATCTTTCTTATGACATTTATTACTTTATTTTTATCGCATTTACTCTAATGTTTGATGTAAAATTAATTTTAAACTCGTTTCCATTTCTTTATTATATTGGCAAGAATAGCTCAAATTAAGAACTATAAGAACATGCGTAATAGGTAAATTACGAGCGTTGTATGAAACGACTGAAGAAGAGGGCCAATGGGCCTTTCAAGTCACTTAAAAAATGAGCCAGCTCAACTAGAAACCGTGGACAGCTGTTTCAGCCTGTATTGGGCCTTGTCAGCACGGTATATCTAGTGAGCTGGTAGAATCAGTGCTGGTGCTGAAATCGCACTGCCTAGAGCCAATCAGTTTACAGGATTTCCTATGATTTCAAAATGGATATAATTAACATATAAAGAAATTAACATTCGTAGCTACAAGTGCAATATTTTAATTTACATTACCAGGAAAACCTCTTGATGACTGCCAACAGAAGCTACGAGACTACTCTCTTAACCCACCAAAGAGTGGTGACTACGAGCCCAGATGTGATAGGGATGGATTCGTAACAGTTCAATGTGACCGCTTGGCAAATATTTGTTGGTGTGTAGACCGTAGTGGAAATGAAAGACCCGGAACTCGACAAAAAGGACATAAAATATCCTGTCCAGGCGAAGGTAATAAACACTGATTGATTATATTCAACAATCCAGTCCAGCAAATAGTCCAGTAACAGTCCGGCAAAAAATCCCAACATTATTTTTCTATTGGGAATTTTAATGGACTTTCCAATACCAAAACCCATTGTGGGTATGAAAACTAGGTGTATTGCTGAAATTCCCTTTTTGTGGAATGGACTAATTCGACGATGCGGCGGCCATGTTGGATCGCGAGACATCATGGGGCGTCCAGGGGGCAAATATAACTTTGTTACGGTAATAACGTCGATTGATATTAACAGCTCACCACAAGAGAATACAACAAAAGATAAATCAAGAAGTCACATCGATCACCTTTACCCATAAAACCAAGACAAACACACGGAACTCTCTATATTTGTCGTTTTGTTTTGTTTTGGCCACGGTCAAGATGGCTGCGGTATCGTCGAAGTAGTCCATTCCCCGTTGAGTCGAGACATTTGTGTCATACAACAAATGTGTAGATATCTGCTATTTGGTATTTCACTGTCACCAGTSAAAAGATTATTATTCATTCAGTATTTATTGAAGACTACAGTAATTTTTGTTCTGTGTATTCCTAGCAACCTACTTTTGTGGAGTTCGCAACCCAAAAGATGTAGGATCCTTGTATACTTTCATGAGCAAGTGCGACTCAGATCAAGCTTTTATGAAAGTTCAGTGTGATTATAGACATGGTTACTGCTGGTGCTCTGATAAGTTAGGCTATGGAATGCGATGGACAGCAACACGTGGCACACCAAACTGCAATCAAACTTGTAAGTGGTAAATGTAATTTTTAGAGGCACTCTTTCTCTGTGGGGTCTGCTAGTTAATTAATAACGATGTCCATATATATGGCAGTACAACACTGTTTAAAAAAATATATGTAAACTGTAATTTTACATTCTCGAAAGGTGCTTTCAGGATGTCCTAAGCATGAAGGGAGGCCCAAAGTTTCCAAATAACTAAGCTTCCCCTAGATTTACTCTAGATAAATTTACCCAGAGGAACCAGGATTCTTAAAAAAAAGAAAAAGAAAAAAGATTAATATTTAATTAAAATTATGATTTTAAATTATTACATAGCTGAGCCAAGTCCCTGTCATAAACATCTGATGCGGGTACTTGGAAATACTGGAATAGTACCACCAGGTTATCACATGCCAAACTGCCGTATTGATGGTTCGTACAATCCCGTTCAATGCGAAGGCTCAACTCCCTATTGTTGGTGTGTAAATGAAAACGGACATGAGTTACCTGGCACAAAGGAACTTGGACAGCCAAAATGCCAAGATATCAGTAAGTAGTGCTGTCTTGCCAAATATGTTTGGTCATCGCACACATTTTTGTTTGCCAATTCGTCATTGTACAACACTCATATCTAGCTTGAAAGATCATGAGATTATGTGTGTGTGTGTGGAACTACAAAAACAAAAACTACAAAATTCAATTTTGCTCTCTTTTAAAAGAACCCTTTAGAACGCTTCCAGGCGTAAGGCTGCAAACAGTCCCCTCAAGATGCCATCAGGCACGCCAACAAGCTTTAGGACCATTAGGATTTCCACTTCCTGGGGCATTTGTACCTGTATGTAAGGCAGACGGAAGATACAACAAAACACAGTGTCATCACTCTAGTGGCTACTGCTGGTGTGTGAATGAGTTGGGACAGGAACAACGTGGCGGTAGAAAACGAGGCCAACCCACGTGCAAACAGCCTGGTAAGGATATATACATGAATCGAATATATTTATGGTTCCGTCAAATCAATCAATCAATCAATCAATAAAACAAATCGTCCTTTTCTTTGCAAGGTTAGCAATTATATATTATCCAGTGGCTAAGAAACCCGCGCCTCTCGTTCCATGATCGAATTGGAATTTAGAAGTAATTTTTTTCGAATAGAGCAGGTGCATGTTACGTCATTGCCGCCATCTTAGTTGACGATAGCAGAGCATTCCTCCGGAATAGCTTCTCTTGTTAGATCAACCAAGATGGCGGCTRTTTCATTGTTATTCATATCTCAAGGGATTTTGAGTCACATGGTTGCACACACTCTATACGTAAATGAAAGGATACCGGAGAACCAAGAGAAAAATGAAAATATTATTTTCTCGCAAACACCTTACTTATACTGCATGTACGGTAACAAAGAAAGAAAGAAAGTAAGAAAATCAACGGCAAAATCAACTGTGATTGAATACCTTTGATTGCTAATAAATTTAATCTGGCTTTAATTTTCTTGTTTTAAGAACCACTTACTCCTTGCCGACGTGATAGAATAGAGGCTCTAGCTTGGTCTGGTCGCTTCAGGATCGGCGCATTCGTACCACGATGCCGGAGCGATGGGAGTTTCGAACCAGTACAATGTTTGGAATCTCCTGGACAATGTTGGTGTGTCGATATCAACGGAAACGAACTAGCGGCTACAAGAGCCTTTGGACAAGTCACCTGTACATCGCGTGGTTAGTATTGCGTGCGCACTTTGCGTGCACACAAAGCACTTTTTGTGAAATCAACAAACTGTGTGGATAGCAAGTATATTTTATAGATATTTTAAAAATGAATCTCTTCAAAGCATTATAATAACTGGAAATTTAATTGATACATGTTTGTTTAGAGGGAAAAACAACTTGCCAACGCGAACTGGAAGAAGTAAAAGAATCTGGGGCATCCGTTCAACGAACATGTGATGCTACTGGTCGATATGAGCGTGTGCAATGTGACAACCCCACGAACCCGAAGGTCTGTTGGTGTGTAGATCGATATGGAAGAGAAATCCCAAGAACTAGGAAAAGAGGTCCAACCAAACCAACTTGCGATTCAACAGGTAAAAGGAAGTGCATAAAAAACTGCACATTTATTTTAGATGTCAAAAAATTATATTCGCAATAAAAGACGACATAGAACGGAAATGGAATAGTTAAAGCATGCAAAGTGGGTACTGGTCGACAGAGAACTGCGTGGCAGGAATGATAATTCTAAACCGGGGCGTAACTAGGTCTCAGGATTGGGGTAATGTATCATTTCCTCGCCAAAGTACACGTGTAAGCGTTTCATTTTTCTCTTACCATATCCAACTACTTTTTCGGCGCCCCCTTCCAATACGCACCGATCTAGATTTTAAAATGTGGAATGATAGATAACAATTCTTGCTTTTAAATCTAACAGCTGGCTTATCGAAGTGCCAACTCGAGCGTCAACATTTATTGGGATGGGCAGGAGAACCTTCTCCCGGCAATTTTGTTCCCGAGTGTGAAGCTGACGGATGCTACGCAGCTGTTCAGTGTCATGGGTCCACTGGTTATTGCTGGTGTGTAGACAGCAACGGGAATCGAATACCACAAACAACAATACGAGGAAAACCCGTTTGTGAAAAATCATGTGAGTATATCAAAAGCTTCTCATTGACATATAATACAAAGAGCAATGATATGAATTTATCTTAACGTGTTAATTTTTTCCCCATTCCGTCATTCTAAAAATATATTTAAACCAACTTTACATAACCGTAGAAACCAAATTTGCATCATTGTAGAGTACACGTCATAAATGTAGCTTCTAACGTGCAGCGCTCAAAACACTGGCTTATAAAGCATTTAGTTTTCAACTATTTAGCTGTAAAATAGCTAAGAATTCATCCAGGCATAAATTAAATAGAAATAATGATCTTGTTCCCAATGTTCTGCAGCATTCAGATAGCCACTATTTTGTACAAAATAACAGTAATCCAATTAGTTGACAGATCCTATTTGGTTTCGTTTCAAGGATATATGACGTGCACGTCATATATCAGAATAAAATTATCAAATGCTCACAAATGTGTAATGTAGTAACAATCTGATTATCATGGCTTCAATAGTTAAAACTGATCATTCTATATATTAACCAAGACATAATTGTTTTCTTTTTTGGTTTTGGCATACATGTGATTCAAACTCATAGTCACCAATGAGTCATGCTAGCTTTCTTTATGATCTTTTTTGTTAGTACTGCTATCGCCATGCCAAATTGAACGACAGCGTGCTCAAGGATGGTCGGGAATAAACAACGGAGTATTCGCCCCAAGATGTCGTCCGGACGGTTACTATGATACGGTTCAGTGTCATGGAAACCAGTGCTGGTGTTCAGATATGTCAGGCTATGAGCTCCCTATTCCTCGAGTACCATCTGGGCAAAAGCCGGACTGCTCTCAGCTCCCAAGTAAGTGACTAAAAATATATAAATATGAGATGCCAGAAAAAGGACAAACACGAGATTTTGCTTTCCCATGCATCTGTTTGGCTATACAATTTGTTTTCCCGAAAAAAAGTTAMATTAAATTGAAAACTTATTGCTGTCTATTCCCTTTTCCTGATATAAATCATAGGTAACTTTACAACATGCGAGAAAGAACGACAACGTATTCTTGGCCTTCCTGGATTTTCTGTTCCTCCCGCTGCCTTCGTCCCAGTTTGTAAAGCAGATGGACAGTTCCGAGAAGTCCAGTGTAGTACGTCTACAGGATATTGTTGGTGCGTCGATAGGAATGGTAACCCAATATTCGGAACAGAAGTTAGAGAAGAACCTGTCTGCCAAGTGACAGGTAGGCAGGACTAACATTTGCATGACGTTTTTTGAAATAAAAGCTAGCCAACTACTTCCAAAACGTCATATAAGAGATTCAGGCATAGAAAATAAAAATGCTAATAATACATGATTGAATTGCCATCATTTTTATCATTTCTGATCTTCGTTATTATGACTATAATAAGGATAAGCGAGCAGGATAAGTTAAGGTTTATATGTCAAGCTTGCGCAGTTAGTATAACTTACAGGACGAAAGGGTTCAGAATGAAGCAACAAACAAACAAATAAGCAAACAACAAACAAACAAATAAACATTAACTAAAAAAAGTTCAATTGGTTTTTGCAAAAAACTCAAATAGCGTTGGGAATAAAGACAATCTAAAGCGTAAGATCCTTTTTTTTCCCCGCAGAGGGTAGGACAAAATGTCAAGAAGAACGAGCCCGTGCTAAAGGACCTCCTGGAACTCTTCCCATCAATGGAGCATTTGTTCCTTCATGTAACAGTAATGGAGGATACAAAAGAAAACAGTGTCACACGTCGACTAGTGAATGTTGGTGCGTGGACAAATTTGGCAACGAGGAAGCTGGTACTCGAGTACGTGGAAGCAACCTCTGGTGTGATCCGCCAGGTAATCAGATTTTATTTTAATYTTTCCTTATTATTATAATCGATGGCTGCTGCCTCAAGCCAAAGTGTTTTCTAGCCGGTTACCATTCTATTTCTTAATATGTTCCGTATTTTTTCAGCTGGTCTCAGCCGATGCCTTAAGGAGCGTCGTCGCGCGCTGGGCTTCTCTGGAGGTGCAATGCAAAATCGATTTATGCCTTCTTGTAAGAAAGATGGATCTTACGAAGAAGTACAGTGTAGCGGAAATAATTACTGTTGGTGCGTGAATAAGGAGGGAACCGAAGTCCTTGGTACAAGAATAAAGGGTAAACCTACATGTTTCTCTCCTACAGGTATGTCCAAAAAATACATTCTGCTTTTTTTTGCAATTTTGTCTACCCAACAAAGTGTAATTTTTAATTTGAAATTCATCGACAGCTGTCCTTACATCATGCCAACGAGAGCAACGTGCTGCCCTTGGTTTCGATGGTCCATCTGTTGTAGGTGCCTACGTTCCTAAGTGCGACCAAAATGGCAATTACGAGTCAACTCAATGCCATTCAGGAACAGGACAATGCTGGTGCGTGGACTTAAATGGCAAAGAAATAGACAACACCCGAGTGAGGGGTCGTCCAAAGGATTGTGTCACCCAGCAAAGTAAGTTCGAATGCTTTTTTCTATGTGGAGACTTGAAATCGTTATCAAATCAATCAAACAAATAAACAAACAAACGAACGAAAGAGCGCACGCGCAAAAATAAAATTAAAAAAAGCAAACGAAGTAAGAAATAAATTAAAGGAGAAAAAGAAAAGGAAGAATAAATAATAAAGTATCGGTAATGAAAGAGGGAAGTTTTACATTAAACAATGATTATTAGTCTGATTATGAAAAAGGTTCATTTTCTAGATTTAGGGCCCTACTGAAAACCACGTCTAGTGAGTAGGTTTCCCTCATTAAAGATTATAAGCAGATTTAATAATGGATTCATTCTATATCTAATATAGCTGGACCAGATAGTACAGAATGCGAACGTGATCGACAGAGGGCCATGGCTAGAGGAGAAACAGCTTACGTCCCTCAGTGCTTAGATGACGGCAGGTTTGCACCGCTTCAATGTTCAGCCGTTTACAATAAGTGTTGGTGCGTAGACGTTAATGGAAATGTTTTGGCAGGAACTAAAGTCACTGGTACCAATAGAACGTGTCCACCAAAAGGTAATGAGCTCATTTATCTTTCCGTTAAGGATTAACGCTGTTGTCTTATAATCCTACAACTTATTATGCCGCCAATCAAAAGGCTTATGTTTTATGGCTTCATAATGAGAGTATCGATGTATGTAGGGTAGAGGGAGGTAAAGAGGAATCAAAATATATATGTTTTTAAAAAAATATCATTCACAGTATCTGCACCTACCAAATGTGTTGAGAGTCGTCAACGTCTACTTAGAAGCCCTCAAAAAAGCGGCCAATATATGCCAAAGTGTGACCAAGATGGTGGCTACAAGCGTGTTCAATGTCACTTAGCATCTGGGTATTGCTGGTGTGTTGGGCGTACTGGCAAGGAATGGCCTGGCACTAGACAACGAGGTGGACGACCTGCATGCGAAAACACAGGTAAGTTGAAAGAGTTACACGACCTTTCAAAACGAAGTCTTGCGCGTCTCCTTAGAATAGGCGTTGTGTATAATAACTTGTTGATTATGAAGAAGACCGGCAACGAATGGCAAAGGGAGAGAGAGGGAGTGTAAAAGGGGCGCGTTATTATTCATTTTTCGAGTTGAAATAGACTAGCAAAAAAGGTTTGCTTATATTTTCAGAAATTTTGCTTATCCGTAAAAACGAGGCCAAGCACTTCACTTTTTAACTAAAGTGAATTAACATTCCAACTCCCCCCCCCCCCCCTGCTAGTTATGGCTAGTCTCTAACACTAAATAAATCGTACTTGATGCATTGGATAATCCCAATTTCTTTTTTACCATCCAGCGGGCCTCACTCCCTGTCAAAAACAACGTTACGATTCATATGGTTCCAACGGAAAGCTCTCCTCTGATCGATTCGTGCCAACATGTAATCGCCTAGGCAAGTATAATGCCGTGCAGTGTCTGGCATCTACGGGTCATTGTTGGTGCGTTGACAAGAAAGGCAACGAAATTCGAGGTACAAGAACCAAAGGCTTCAGGCCAATCTGCACCAAAACAGGTAAATTAGTTGCAATGAAATAATCAAGCGAAAACTTTCTAATTATTTCTCGACTGAAATCGTTAAACCGGGGGGGGGGGGGTTGGAGTCTGGTGCACCGCAGGACACCCCCCTGAATCCGCCCCTGGGAAGGCATATTCGTTTCGAAACTCTAATTTCTTTTTTTACAGGGTTCAACACTAACTGTGAAAGAGAACGTTATCGCGCTCTCGCTTGGACAGGTTTAAAAGTACGTGGTCTTTGGGTTCCCGTATGCGCATCGGACGGTTCTTATGAGCCAATCCAATGCCATCCTCAATCAGGTTACTGCTGGTGCATTGATAAAGAAGGACATGAACTATTTGGTACTAGAGTTAAAGGAAAGCAAAGCTGCAGGAATATCAGAGGTGAGAAATGCCGATGTTATAGTTATTTGCGAACAACGATTTCTTTTGAATAGCAGGAAAGAAACTCAGGAAATACTGATGAAAAGTTGTAATAGGCAATATATGGGCCCAATCTGAGCCTGAATCCGACATTGTATAAATTTTACAATGAATAGTAAATTAAGATACGGTATGCTAGTGACAGATATTTTGAAAATGGTGCTCTTACCTGATTAACGTTTTGGGTTCAGAATAAAAAACATACGTAACATTAGCACGCCCCCTCATGTGAGCCCATACAAATTATGTCTCAAAAACACGATTAGGTGGATCTTTTCTCAAAATAATGACTATCTAAGCAAAAAACAGAAGTGGATTCAGTTAATTCAACTATTCACGGACTGTATTATATGGTTTAGATTTTTTGAAAAAAACCACCGTACTTTTCGAGTTGAATGTACGCTATTGGACGTATTTTACAAGAGAAAATGCATGACATAACCGGGGTCAAGCTACAAAATCGTCTCCCCTTGATATAAAACAGAACCTGTCAAAAACAAAAAAAAAAAACAAAAAAAAAAACAACAAAAACAAACAGAAGTGGATTTGAAAACCCCGGGCTTTCCTGAACATTTTGGTATATGATTCATAGGAATTTGTTAAAATTTAGAAGCGTATTTTTGCTGATTTTATAAGCCCATACTATCTGTTGGCCTATTCATTCGCCTCTTATGGTTTCTTAGATTTCGTAGCATCGACTGAAAAACACGCTAACTACAGTAGTTCGCGAAGAACAGAAGATTTACAGGGTCATTTAGGATGTTGTGTCACGCAGTTTACTTGTGCTATATAACTACTTTTAAGAACTGACCTTTTGCTTTGGAAAGAGGGGAAAAAGACCGAAAAGAGCAAATATTCCAAATGTATGGGCAATTTTTTCCAGTGAGATTAGTACACAGTCTAATCAGCCAATTACTACTTTTCCCACAGGAGGATTTACAAATTGTTTAAGAGATCAAAACATAGCTCTTGCCTGGAAGGTAACTCGAGGAGTAAGTCATTTCAGCCCTCGATGTCGTTCTGATGGTAGCTTTGAGCCAGTGCAGTGCCACGCATCTACCGGATACTGCTGGTGTGTTGACAGTAAAGGAAACGAGCTGTGGAGTACCAGGGTTCGAGGACGTAAACCTGACTGCACAAGAGGAGGTAAATAAAATATTTCACAATAACAAAAGATAATGAAATTAGAAAGGATCGAAGTGTTTCATGTTTTAAACTTCTTTCTTTTCGTATTGGGCTTCCTGTGGTGGATTGCGCACACCCGTCGATTTTGGCGCGCTTTTTTTCACTGCACAAAAACAGATCAAATTTCAGCAGGAGTTGTTGATGTAGGTTTGAAAATATATCTAAGCTAAAGCTTATTATTTCAAAGAGAAACAATTTGAAAATTGTCGTAATTTGAAGAACGTAGGTTTCGTAAGGTGCTACGAGTCTGTTAGAAGGAAAGACTTTCATCCCAACCCCCGAAATTCGGGAATTTTTTGATAACTTTGATTGTGTGAAGGAATTTATTCCAAAATGTAGCAATAATTCTCTTTATTTCAGTTACCAAAACAACCTGCACCAAAGAGAGTGAAGAAGGATCTAATGATTTACCGTCTAATCAAAGATTCGTACCTCTTTGTGATTTCTACGGTGGATACCGACCCATCCAGTGCGATAATGATGGCTACTGTTGGTGCGTCGATAGATATGGAAATGAATTACCAAGAACAAAGATCCAAGGAACTCCTCATTGTGACTTTACTGGTACGATACTTTGTTCATTTATTATTTTGTTACGGATTGAAGCTTCCAAATACTCTGTATATAAAAGGCGGAACGACATTTGGGTCCTGCTAGCTTTTTTCTATTCTTCGTTTGCAATACACGTCATAGCCGCCATGTTGGAAGAATTTGACAAAAGATTTTTCAATGAATTCTTTTGTTATATCTTCCAACATGGCGGACATCCCTTTTGTTATCGTGCTCTCTTGGGATTGATTGCAAACCAAGAATTGTAAAAAGAAAGATCCAAGGAACTTCTCATTGTGACTTTACTGGTACGATACTTTGTGATTTATTGTTTTGTTACGGATTAAAGCTTTAAAATACTCTGTATATAAAAGGCGGAGCGACATTTGGGTCCTTCTGCTAGCTTTGTTCTGTTGTACGCTTATACTGTAACTTGGGGTCTTTTGTAAACACCAAGGCTGAAAAGGAGGGTAATTTCTTGATTTTTGTAGGTCTTTGTAAGCAGGTTCGAGCAAGAAGGTAACAACTATATATTGTTGTTACAAGTCTAACATGCTCAAAAGTTTTTAATCCATGGTGATGGAGGTTTAATATACCCTCTCCATAGCTTTGCTACATATCTAGCCTGCATAGCCAGGCTTTCTTAGGGGAGTGGATTGGGGGAGATTTGATTTTTTTGTTATTTGGTTTATTCATGGGGCGACCTTGTTTTTCACAGCTGGTCTCACTCACTGTCAAAAAGAAAGACGGCTTGCTCTGGCCTGGACTGGAAAGGCAGCACCTGGCCGTTTTGTCCCAGAGTGTGACGCAGAAGGAAGGTATGAGCAGGTTCAGTGTGAAAAGCACTCTGGGTATTGTTGGTGTGTTGATGAGAATGGAAGAGAAATACCAAGAACACAGACCAGAGGAACACCTGACTGTAGAAATCCAGGTATAAAAAATGAATTGTTTTCATCTTGTAGATTTTTCAGTGGTTTTTGAGCAAGCGCACATATGTGAGCTCAAATCGAACGTTCAAAAGTAGGCAGCCACCTTAATGCAAGTTGATCACACAAAGCATTTGCATTATTTCTTAACAGAAATGTCTTACAATGTTTTAAATGAGCACTGTATAAATTGCATACAGTAAGGAATTTATTTAAATAAACATTGACCCTGGACTTGTAGTACACCGAATTGAAATATGGCGGCCAATCTGAATAAGTATAATTTTAGACTGACTAGCCTCTCATACATGTGAAAATGCTTTTGTGATCTTGAATTAGCTAAGAATCTAAAGGGATAGTTTAAAATATTTTATTCGATCATTTCAGCCAAACTGACTGAGTGCCAAAAGGAGCGTCATCAGGCTTTCCCTTGGTCTGGTCGCTTTGTACCAGAATGTAATCAAGATGGCAGCTATAAGCCAAGGCAGTGCTCAACAGGTCAATGCTGGTGTGTCGATAGAGATGGCAATGAAATACATGGCACAAGAGCAGATGCACAGGCTAACTGTAAGAATCAACCTACTCCAGGTAACCTACCTATTTTTGCATTTTGCAATCCAATGTAAACGAGTTCTTTATTTAAATATCATACCTTAAAAACTCAATTCTAAGCCCCCCTCCTCCCGCATGCCGAATATAAGCCCTCCAAGTTAATAGCCCACCAAAACTGAATTATGAATGAATATAAGCCCATATAACCAGGATTCTGCAGTGGTATGTCACAAAAAATGGTCTTATAAATATTGTGAGCTTGAAAGTTATACCTGTTGGGGTACTACACATATCTTTTGCTCCTATGTTTAATTGATTTTAGTTTAGACTGGAAAAATCCCATGAATCATCCTTTATGGATTATTTCATTTGCATTCTGTTATTCCATTCACTATTTACTTAGTTTATTTTAAGCGATCTTTTGTTCATTCCAACAGGCTCACAAACCATTTGTCAAAGAGAGCATAATGAAGCAATGACACAATTGCAAGGCGATGCAGCTGGCAAATATGTACCAAAATGCACAAGTACAGGTAGCTACAAACAAATACAATGCCACACTGGTACACCATATTGTTGGTGTGTTGACAAATATGGCAAGGAGATCCCTCGAACACAATCAAGGAAAAGACCATACTGTGGACATACTGGTTAGTCAGTACATTTTTGCAATAAAAGTATATATATATATATATCTATCTATCTTAAATATCAGACTGTTTAATGTGAGGCTTTAGTCATATGGTACTTCATGTATGTTGCTAACATGTGGATGACACCAAATACATTTATTGGTAGAAATCAAATAATGTGCCATTTTTAATATTCCTACCTTTCGGCAATGATAAGAAAATGTTGGTCGCTACTGTTCCTTTTGGGGTTTAATGACAATATTTATGATCATTTTATTAATGTTTTTGATATCTAAAACAAGACTGACAGTTCACTGTACAGAGGTGCTGGATGTGTAAATTGGTTCACATGGTATATGATTGATTGTTTTGATCATATTCTCATGGAACATGTAGCCCCTCCCCCCACCCCTACCCCAATATTTTTTGCCATTATATTTTGAATTATTCATTTGCTATTTAATTGAAATATCAATATAGCCACTACAATAAATATGTAGTAAATGACCCTGAAAACATTAGAAATCACACTTCCAAGGCTCTCAGTTTAAAACATTTTTGAAAGAGCCTGCCCTTGAACATCCTTATAAGGTGTTCCCAACTTTGGCAGTTGTTAGCAACCCTCCCCCCTTAAAATTATGACGGCTCTGCAGTCCCTGGTTTTACGTAGAAAATTGAAAGTAAGATTGACTTACATTAGTTAACCTCTTTATCTATTGGTTTTTATTCCCCGTGCTCATTTTCAGTTGATTTCAAGGATTTTTCTTTATTTTATGAATCCCATCAAAGTGACGAGTGTCATAATTTACACAATTTACATCTCACCTAACTTATTTTTTTAAATTTTACTTTTAATTTTTATCTTTTTAACGATTGAAAAAGTGTTGACAAGTTACACATGGTTATCTTTTAAATTGCAGCTGGTATGACCCTGTGTCAAAAGGAGCGTCAGATTGCTATTGGCTGGACAGGTATTGCTGCACCAGGTCAGTTTGTCCCTAAGTGTAGGCCAGATGGTTCATATGACTTGGTACAGTGTCATGTTTCAACTGGATTCTGTTGGTGTGTCGATAAAGATGGAAATGAATTACCAACTACGAGATCAAGAGGAAGACCTGTCTGTGCTCTTTTGGGTATGGTCTTTTTATTTTTTCATTTTCTTCTACTTATTTTCAATTTTCCTCATTAATGTTTTTTTTTTTTGTTTTTTTTGTTGTTGAGAAATTGAAACGTAGCCGGCATTTACTTTTAAGTCAATTAAAATTAAATGGGCTGTCAGGGTAGAAATGAATAAGCAATGAGATTAGCTACAGTATAGACCATATTGGTGGATCAAAAATTGCTGCCAGATACAGAATTACTAGTAATTGTACTACTCTTCAGAAAATTGAATTTTTATGTTTCAAAATCCTTTTAATTTACTCATAAACCAATAAGAAGACTATCTATACCGCTTTTAAATTTACAAACTGATGATCCATTGTAATTGGTTTTTAGCTGGCTTAAGTCAATGTGAACAAGAACGGCAAAGAGCTTTAGGTATTCTTGGAGTGGCTCCACCTGGACGCTTTTTCCCTGCGTGTACATCTACTGGAGAGTATGAGAAGGTTCAATGCCAGGAATCTACTGGATTCTGTTGGTGCGTTGACAAATATGGCCGCGAAACTCCCAATTCCAGAGCAAGAGGGCGTGTTGTCTGTGATTCAATAGGTAAGATCTCTTGTTTTTTTCCTTCCTGTTCACATTTATCAAAGTGCAACTGAGCAATTCAGTTTATGTTGCACAAACAAAGTAGACTAGGGATGGACAAACGTTTTCATAGTCAAATTTATGAACAAATGAATAAAATTACGAAACGAAGAGAAACAGGGAATGAACTTAGGGAGGGACTTTTGTTTTAATGATTAAAAACGAATATAACAAACAAGCAAACAAACAAACAAAGGAATGTGCAAACAAGTAAACGAATTGATTGATGCAATCATGATACAAAATAAATTAAAATTAAATATGGATGAATAAGAAAGCAAGAGAGAAATTACTGAACTGAATTACTGAACAGTAACTTTGATTACTGCGATTCCCAGTCACACGAGTCCAAGTGAGACAAAAATCACAAACGAAAAATTGAGTTTTGGTGGACGTCAATCAAAAGGGTTTCTTATTAAACATGTCTAAGGATTCCGACTTCGAATTTCATACGTTTAGCTGCAAACTATCAGTATTGACTTATCCTATCTTGAAGAAAATCATAGCCATAGCGATAGCTTTACAATCAAGCGTTAAGATTTGGAGCCGGAATCCTGTGACATTTTTGAGAAAGTATATCCAGAGTGAGAAATTCACAGTGACAAGAAGCATGAGATAATTACATGTAAGGACAACGATTTTTGCACATTTGCACGTGTTCATGTGAGTATTCACATCAGTCCTGGTGTAGAAACCAATAGAAACGATAGAAATCCTTTTGATTGACGTCCACCCAAATTCAATTTTTCGTTTGTGATGAAGCTCTAGTTGGTCGCGTGTGACTGGGAATCGCAGTAAACGAAAAAAAAGGGAATAACGAGTGTTATATTTTATACACAACAAGAAACAAGATGGTCGCACTTATTCTGATACATGCATAATATACGGAAGTAACAATCTCTCTAGTAAGCGGAAGTAATATCTTACAACGAGGGTGTAGAGAAAGCAATAGTTAAAATCAAAATATTTTTAGGCTTCTTATATAATAATTCCCATTGTCTTGTTGTATGACCTTAAAGATTTTGTTAATGTTCAAGGTCTTATCGTAGGTGTAGTATCAGATTGTATATTGGAACGCGAGCGTCTCACCGCTTCGTCTTTGAGAGACTTTCCTATCCCTGTCTGTGACGAAAACGGACAGTATCTCAGAAAACAGTGCAATTATGCCTTTGGTGTGCAGTGCTGGTGTGTGGATAAAAATGGCAACTTCATCAGTGGTACTAAAGGAGACAAAAACATCACGTGCACTGAACGAGGTGAGTTCGAGATTTTAGTAAGTAATACAACACCAGTTAATGGCTTTGGTGTTTCAGTAGTTAAACATGAAAGTGCTTATTTTAGGGCAAGGATAATCATAGCAATAAAACTCTACGGGTCGGGTGGCTGAGTATGCCACATGTCAATTAGTTTGGTTTGATGTGTTGTTTTCTCCCTTGCCACGAAGGTTACTCTGTCCATCCTAAAAAATCGACGTGTGAGTTGAGAGTTGTGTGCTTAAAACATTAAATGTAGTGGTAGTGTGTGTGGAGTGTGTTGTATACTTAACTATCATTGTCATCAATGTACAAGGCCAAACAACAAACTGCCCGCTTGAAAACGTGCGTCCAGCGGGCGATAATGGATTTTGGCGGGACGCAAATACGTTTGCAGCCCGCCAAAGATTCAACTCCAAAAATCTCGTACGGCAACTTTGAAAATTTGCTTAACTTGGTCTAGTATATTGGTGGTAATGATAACATGACTTTAGTTGAGCATATTGTTCATTTGTGGCCCGAGTAGCATCATTTGCGCGTAGCGTAGCGATAATAAACAATATGCCCTCCAAAAGTCATGTTATTGGCCTATTAGCTTCGTCCACAATTAGAGACTTCGCAACAAATTTCTATATTCACGACGTAAAAAACTTTGCGAACTAAAATGCTACATGGACAATATAAATTACTAGGATTCGAACCACACGTGTCCTCTTTAGTGTGGTTTATTCCCATATCGCCTATTTTAAGTTATTTCTAAAATCGCTGATTTCTTAGTAGGAAATGGTGTTTTCTTTTTAATCGTTCCTTTTTCATTTTTTTTTTATTACAGACGTCAAAGGAAAGCCAACAAAATGCCAAGAAGAGCGCGATACTTCACTTAACTTTAAGGGAAGAGTATCCTCTGTTGGTCGATTTGTTCCTCAGTGTCTCACTGATGGTAGTTATCGTGACATCCAGTGCTCATCGTCTACTGGAGAGTGCTGGTGTGTTTTCCGCGATGGTCTGGAGATCCCACGAACGAGGACTTTTGGAAAGCCCAAGTGCGGTCGAGAAGGTTAGAAAAAAAAACTAGTTTGATTAAGAAATGTCCTTAAAACTCCCTCTGTAAAGCTTTATCACACGACTAATATAGCCTAATGCAGCCGAAAGCACCTGGGTTCTTGGCTTTCTTCAATCGAAAAAGATACTAATTCAAACTGCTGGAAGTAATTTGATTGACGGAAGCCAAAATCACAGACGTCTCTAATTATAGCTAGTTGTCTTCCTGGCGTAATTGCGAAGTGGGTATAATATTTGTAGTATTTACTTTTCATTTGAACATGTAAAACTTGCATGTTCAACTAAGGCAAGGGCACGCGATCCATTTTGCATGCGTACTGCTAGCAACGAAGACATTGTAAGACGTGATCATCTCTAATAAAAACTAGTCCTACTCTATTGACTTTGCATGCATTTGTACCGACAACTTGTTTTGGAAAATACACTGGCTGGTAATGACTGTTTTATTTTTTTGTAATTTGTGGTAGCTGGTCTAACACCTTGCCGAAAGGAAAATATCTATGCACGTGATATCCAAGGACGACCTCTTCCTGGTCGATACCTGGCTGCATGTGACTCGGAAGGAAACTACAAGAGCGTGCAGTGCTTCCTCTCTACATGCTGGTGTGTTGATAAATTGGGACAAGAGATTCCTAACTCCAGAGTTAATGGAAAACCGAATTGCGGCATTAGAGGTAAGAAGATCAATACTCATAAAGTACTCATTTTTGAAATAAATCGCTAAATAAATTAAAAAAGAAAAAGAAAAAAGAAATACTGGAAGAGAAGAGAAGGGAAGGGAAGGGAAGGGAAGGGAAGGGAAGAAAAGGGAAAGGAAAAGGGCAAGGGAAAGATAGAGAAAGGAAAGAAATGGAAACAAAAGAAAAGAAGAAAATACAGACAGATGGTTAGGAAAGACATGTAAATGTAAAAAAAACCTTTAGTATCGCGAGTGAATTACGAGAAGGCAATTCTATTTTACAAAGGCAAGCTAAGCATATTGGCGTATKTCGTATGGACTGAAAACATTATCTCTCTCACATAGATTCCAGGATCAGTTTATTAACGAGCTAAAACTAAATAATATTTCCGTAATTTCCTTTTTTTAGGTGGTTCCCTCACAACTTGTCAGAGACAAAGACAGGCTGCTTTACAAAACACGGGACGTGGTCGATTTATCCCTCGCTGCGAATCGGACGGTTCGTTTTCGCGCGTCCAGTGCCAAGGCAGCTTTTGCTTCTGTGTTGACAGGGATGGCGTGGAGATACGAGGAACACGAGTTAGCTTACCCGGAACTGCTAACTGTCAAGCACCTGCTTTCAAGCTTCCCACTAAAGGTCGGTCATGGAAGAAATCAACTATTTCAGCAATAGACCTTTGTTACTTGGACATAACGTTTTCCTATTTCAGACCAAGTGTTATTCTCTTGAAAATAATATTCCTTGTTTGAGTTGTATCCATATTCATGCACAAGTGGTAGACAAAAAATTGATACCCGGAGGAATGATACGTGTTCTGAAAGGGGAAAAAAATTTGTCCATGTTACAAAGGTTTTTTGAAGGCACGAAAGGACAGACGGACAGACAGACGGGCCTACCGACCAGCGAGTGAGCGAGCGGGTGGGTGGGCGCCGAGCAAACGAACACAAAAAGACGGACGATCAAAAGAACGATTTTTAAATTGAATGTGCAGTTCCTTCCTTTTCCTTCTAATTTCATTTACTTTATTACTAATTTCTAACTTTCCGTGAATTGCTTGACATAACTAGTCGAAAGGCTCACCCCCTGCATGATAGAATACCAACAAGGAATGACCAACTTTGCCAACAACAAATTCATACCCCAATGCAAACCCGATGGTCGTTATGAGGAGGTCCAGTGTAGCCATGGCTGGTACAGCTGCTGGTGTGTTGACATCAGTGGAAGAGAGCTATCAGGAACCAGACAGAAGGGATGGCCTAATTGCAGTAAGTTGAAATAATTAAGAATAAGATGGCAAACATTGTACTCTCTGATGGTTTTTTTGTGATGGAAAAATTTCATGAGTCCTAATTGGCCAATTTCTTTACGTAAAGAATTGTAGCAGGGTTTCCTTATGAGACACAATTTTGATTATAAAGACATATAGCTTGCTTGTTTTAGTAGAATTTATCRATTTTAAAAAAGCAGTGTAGCGGGAGAAAATTCACAATCAGTAGGAAGAGAGGGGATTATTTAGGGGGATGACATGTTTTTAGACAACTGAAGGTGGAATGAAGTAAATATCAAAAGGTTTTAAAAGGGTTTTCTTTCACAAGCAACCAATAATGAGGGGGGAACATATTAAAAGAAAAATAGTGCTTCTTGGGGGGTAAGTTCTCCCACCCCATTCCCCTGGTCATGTTTTTTTAGACAACTGAAGGTAGGATGAAGGAAATATTGAAAGGTTTTAAATGGAGTTTCTCTCACTAGCAACCAATAATATGGGGAGAGGGGGCATAAAGAACTATAGTGCTTCTTGGGGGGATAAGTTCCCCCTGACCTCCACCCCATCCCCCTGGTCGATAGACAATTAGTAACAAATGTAACTTAGTTAGTAGAGGATTCTAATTTCTAGCTTTATGATTCTTCCAAATTTGAATAGACTTTTCTATACAATTTTTAGTGCTTTCAAGATTTCGTGATGCCTCATGGGTCACATTTTATTTTTTTCTTTTTCCAGCCCCACACCGTGCCGCCGATGTTGCTTTCCTCGTGGAATCCAGTGCCGTCAGTGGCAATCTGCCAGTGTTCCAGTCTCTCCTCAACTTCACCAAATCAATAGTGGACCGCCTAGCCCCCAGTCCTCGTGGCGTTCATGTTGGCTACATTGTTTATGGCGCTCAGCCTAACCTCGTTTTTGACTTCAATGCGAAAGGCTCTCCAATCTCATCGAATAATATCAAATCGCTAATAGATTCAGCTGTGGCTGTCGCTGGAAGTCCGCGAATGGACCTCGCTTTGAAAATGGCAAACGAGAAGTTGTTCACACCAAGTGCTGGTGCAAGGAGTGGAGCTCCTAAGGTAGGTCTCATTTTATGAGTTAGAATGAAATCCAAAAAAGTAACGGTTATTACCAACCACTATCACCAAAAGCAGCATAACCATCATAAAAATATAAAAAATAAATAAATAACTCACAACGACAAAAGTAAAAACAACAGCAACAACAGCAACACCACCACCACAAAAACAACCTTGACGTATCCATCAATTTCGAGCCTTTTTTCTTTCTACAAAGTGGCATGTGGTGCGTCATTTAGTTAGACGTGGGAAAATCTTGATGATACTAATATAAAACATTTCCCCCTTGTTATTCTTTAATGCATAGTTCATCTTCCTGCTTACGGCGGCCACGACGTCACCATCTGAAGGAGAACCATCATTCAAGGCTGCAGCTCAGCCTCTTAAAAACAAAGGCATTAATATTTTAGCTATTGGAATGACATCGAAAACCAAGCTCGAAGATCTAAAAGCCATTGCAAGCCACCCAGCTAACGTTTATCGATCTCCATTTGGTGATATCACCAGAGTTGGGAATTTTTTTCCGTCAGTTGTTCAAAACATGGCTAATGTTGTACAGGGAGCTGTTCGGGATCCTCGTATGAGAGGTAAGTGTCGTTACTCAACCTGAAAAAAATCAACCGAACAACTAATGCTCGACAGTCTCAACTACCTTCCTGGCAAAAGCAAATGGCAGATATTACAGGACTGTAAATAAGAAACTCGCGATAGACCTATGCTTCTCACAAACCATTGCTAAATTAACCTCTTCTCTATCTGTAGAACAACCCTCTGGTGTAGATATTGGCTTCCTTATTGGTGCTTCATCAGCTACCACACCCCAACGATGGAAACAGCTCTTATCATTCGTTAATTCTATAGTCGATGGCTTCGACGTCACGCCACAGGGAGCCCATATTGGTGTAATATCGTCTGGTGAAACATCCAAAGTTCGCATCCGTTTTGACTTCCACACTGGAATACCATCATCCTACAAGAAAAAACTTAATCAGGCCATTTCAAATATTCCTTACGTCCCAACATCATCTACAAGATTGGATAAAGGGCTGAAGCTTGCTGCTGAATACTTGTTCAGAGATATAAATGGAATGAGGAAGTCTGTGCCCAAGGTGATGTATAGCTTATAAGTGTCACTCCAATCGTGTAAAAAACGGCTCCCGGGACCAAAACGAAAAGCATTGATAAAAAGATTCTTTTGGCTTTTTTCGTGACAGGATTTGCAAACTTCTTTTTATTTCAGGTGGAGATTAAATCATTATATCCATTTTGAAATCAATGATGATTTCTGCAATCTCATTGGCTATCAGCAGTACGATTTAATCACAAATAGCACCATTAAGTAAATCGCACTCTTTTTAAGAGCAAATGAAATTTCAAAAAAATAGCATCATCACTCGTTTGATTTTCAGACGAAATTGGGCTCCACTCACTTCAGTTACCATTGTTAATAATTTTTTTTGCTTTAGTTTAGCGTTTGTTCTGAACAGTTGGATACAGAAATACGCCATACTTAATAGCTCTATAGAATTTGACTACACCAGTTACTCGGTTTAAATAGTTGCAACACTTAAATAGCATGCAAAATATTTTGTGCAGTATTTTGTGCACAATTAAACACGTAAAAGCGTTTTAAAACTAATTTTACCGAATTCACAAGAAGAAGAAAAAGTGCATATTGTTTATGTGTACACCTACTTGCAAGAAGGTTATCATACAAGAATAAAACATTAGTAATTTAGTGAGAAAGGAATTCATTAAAAGACAAAAGAAAAAGTTCAGCCTCACTGATCTTCTTTTGTTTTTTAATACAATTCCTATCCCCCACTAAATCACTAAATGTTCTATTTTCGTATGACAACGTTCTTGCAAGTAGGTGTATATTGTTTATTTGAAAGACAAGCTTTTTATGACGGTTAATAGGTTGGAATATTTTCTTTCCTGTTTTGACCTTGTTTGTTAAGTACCCTTCTGAATTGTGATGGGGAATCTATATTTATGTACCTTTTGATTGAACTGTTGCTTTGAGGCGTTGTGTCACATGACTCAAGTGCCATGGCATTTAAAGTTTGACAACATTATTTTTATTGTCTTTACAGTACTTGTTGGTAATAACTGACGGTGACCAAACGGGCAAGAATCTGCCATCATATATTCCACTGAATCGCGCTGGACAGTCTGTCAAGGATAGAGGTGTTTATGTCTTGGCTATTTCAGCACGACCCGCAAGTAACACCAACATGAATGATCTGAGGGCTTTGGCTTCAAGTGACCAGGATGTGTTTGCTCTAGCTCTTAGCAGTTTACCAGCAATATCACCTTTGATCATCAATAACGTGAAAAACAACATGAGAGGTGAGAGAACGTTTTGAGGACGGGGTGGGAAAACGCTCTGTAGTGTGGATCGTTCGTTATTCAAATCCCCCCATCACCGAGCCAAGAAAGAAAATCTCAATGACCTCATATTCCTCAATCATTTATTAATAAATGTCCTCTTGTATTCGTTTTAGGTCAAATTTATCCAGTTGATATAGGAATTCTYATTGGTTCGTCACGATCAACTACTAAAGCCAGCTGGAAAAATACCATCAACTTTGTTTCAAATCTTGTCGGTGATTTTAACATTTCACCACAGGGAGCCCACGTTGGCCTTATAACATTCCAAGAAACTCCAAGAGTAGCTTTCTCTTTCAATACTTTACAAGGCATGCGTCAGAATGGATACGAAGTACAGCGTTTAATCAGTGGTTTACCATTCAGACAAGGATACACTAGGATCGATCGGGCACTACAGCTGGCTAACTCGTATCTCTTCACTAAAAAGGGGGGATCAAGGCAAGGAGCAGCTAAGGTAAACTGAATACCAGTTTGTCCTGCAAATCCTTTTACACCTGGCACCTTTTTATCATATCGTGCGATCCTGAAAACTTTATTTTCTGAATCATTCATTGGCTTTTGATTTATGGCTTATCCCGTCCATAAAAATTGATTATTAGAGCGGCTTTGCGGAAGCGAGAACGTATTAAATTAAAACGTGCGACTGAGATTTGAAGCCTGTTTCTTTTTTTTTTTTTTTTAATTATAGATACTTCTTGTGATTGTCGACAATGCTCAAACGAGAGATCGTGGTCCCTATACCGCCCTGACGACCGCCTCACAGCCTTTAAAAGACAATGGCGTGAATGTTTTTGCTCTTGGAATCGGACGTCAGGTCCAGGATCAAAACCTCAGGGACATAGCCACTAAACCCGACAACGTCTTTAAGGCTGCTCCCAACCAATTAACTGATACCAAGAGAGCAATAGAAAGGAAATGGAGAACCTACCTGCGGGGTATATTCTTATACTTTTCATGAATTTATTAATTTTGAAGTTCCAGTTAATAGAGGCTTTGTACCACCACGTGACGGCAGCCATTAAATGGCAGGAACAATACAATCGTTTTACATAAGAAAGAATTCAATTCCCGAGCGCAAGGGGATTTTATTGTTCTTCCATCTAAGCACAGGCAGCTCAAGCTGTATTATAGGCGCCGGCAAGTGATGGTGCAAAGCCTCTATTTGTCAATTCTTTGTTAACTTGTCTCCACCAATAGTAAGGTGCATTACTAACAATTTATTTTGCTCCCAAGCTAGACCAGTCTCATCAGTATCGGTTTTTGTATTGTGCACTTTCGACGTATTGTCACCAAACTGATTTGTATTTCTTCGTTATTGTTTTCCAGCACGATGGCTTCCAGCTGATATTGCATTTGTCGTTGATGGGTCTGACAACATCCAACCCGAGAGATGGCAGCAAATAATCAATCTCATCAAACGAACCGTCAATGCATTCCATGTGTCACCACCTTCGACGCATTTTGCCATGGTCACGTTTGGAGGCACTCCTAAAGTCAATTTCCACTTCAACACACTACGAGGCGATCAGCTCAATCCTCAAGGAATCAAGAGACTTGTTGATAATGCACAGTTGGTTGGAGGACAGGCAAAGATTGACCGTGGGCTGCAGTTGGCTTATAAAGACGTCTTTACCACAGACAATGGTATGAGGAAATATGCAGTCAAGGTAAGACATTTCAAGCCTTTATATATTGGTTCCCCAGAATTTAGTCATATTTTAAAGGGGTGGTCTTGTTATCAGTCTTCTTTTGAGTCCTGGTACAAGTGAAAGCAAAAGGAATTGGAATGAGAATGTGAATACATTTCTAGATCAAGCCTAGTGTGGAATGAGTGCATTACGGAGCCACCAGAGCGGCTATTAGCAGAGTTTGGTTGCTGAAATATGTTGTTTTTAAAGCTCTGAAATATCTTGTTTACAGTACCTTCTGCTCATAACGGCAAGCCCACAAGCCCGATATCCGGCATCTGTATCTTTGCCTACGTTATCACAAGGTCTAAAGGACAAGGGCGTTCAGTCCTACGTGCTAGCACTGGGACCTAATGTTGATCCTCGTGAACTGAATGACATTGCATCGACCCCTGAGAATGTATACAGAGTGCCCTATAGTGATTTGCCACAGTTTGGAAATCGCTTGTATGCGGCCTGGAGAAACTACCCACGACTTAGAAGTATGGTTGTCTTACTAATGATATTTTTAAATCATTAAATAATGATAGAAAATAACAATTGAAATCGAATTCAGCGTATTGCTTTTTATCTCTTCTCCGATTGGCTGAGAACAATCATAATTACCATGTTAAACGTATTATTAGGATAGAGAGTGCGCCATATATCCGTTAAACAATTACTATCTTTTTATAGTTATAAACTATTTAGTTCTGAAATAACTAAGAATTCCAGTAGGTATAAACCAAATAAAGACGCGTAGAGGTATTTGCTTTTGTTCCCAATATTCTGCTTCAGTAATATCTACTTTTTCGTACAAAATCAGGCATCCCAGACCTCCTATATTTCCTATAATTTGTATAGGATCCTATAAAGAGCCTGTATTTAAAGAAAACCTCCTATATTTCCTATAAATAGGACGACTGCTGAGTGATACATTTATATTTTACACTGTTTAGCATATTTGGCGAAGGAAATAAAATGGCCCTTTTTTTTTTTTTCTTGGTTCTGTTTTTTTTTTAATGGTCGATCCCTGGTTACGGCACCGAAAAGCTATCTTAGCTCCTATAAAGTGCATATATTTTTGAGAAAAAATCCTATATTTTCCTATATTTAGAACTTGCACAGCCTATATTTCCTATCAAATTTGTCTAAAAAGTGGCTGGGATGCCTGCAAAATAAACTAGCAGCAAAAAAGCTGCAATTAGACAATACATCTTCGGTTTTGTTTCACGGATATATGGCGTGTACCTCTAAAGGTTGATAGCAGCACGCAAGGTGCAGTATAACTTACATAATAATTGAAATCTAGTCTGATAAGTGTTTATTCGCTTGCAGATCGTCGTCCAGTAGCTGATATAGGATTTGTGTTCGGCACTTCAAAGAAAACCACATCCAAAACATGGATTCGTTTCCTCAACTATGCTAAACGAGTAGCAGATGCCTTTAACATTGGACCAGATGGCGTTCATATCGGAGCATTGACTTTCAATTCACAGCCTCGTCTTGGCTTTAGGTTCGACACTCTGAGAGGTTCACGCTATAACGCTGCAAATGTGAAGGGTTTGATATCACGACTGCCATTTACCACAGGAACAACGAATATTGGACTTGCTTTACGTGCTGCTAACAAGAATCTGTTTAATGTGAAAGCAGGCATGAGACGGGGAGTGCCACGGGTTAGTTTTACCACCATTTCTTCTTGATTGATTTACTCATATTTTCAAATTAAGTTTCGAATAAAACTGTAAAATAAGTATATTTGAAAAAAGTACCATCCCAAATGGTGAGAAATTGTTATCAAAGTTTAAATTATTTGCTGTTGTTGACTTTGTGAATTAAAAATAATAAAAAAACGCAGAAAAGAAAAAAAAAAAAAAAAAAAAAAAAAAAAAAAAAAAAAAAAAAAGAAGGAAAAGAAAAGAATAACACATATCAAAATAAAATTGAAAACAAATACAAGAGACAAAGAAAAGAAGATATATCAACAAATAAATTGAAATAAAAGTAAGATAGTTTGGGGACTGAGGAAACTAAAAAAGGTGGGATCTCGCCCCTAATTTTTGGAATGATCGCCGTCTTCAACAAATACTATTTTCTATGACTAATATTWAAAAAATCGCTCACTATACATTTCATGTTTTGGGTTAGTTAATGATACTTCTTGTCGATGGCCGTGACAACCCGAATCGTCCAGGATACATAACGCTCTCTAAAGAAGTGCAACCTTTGCGAGAAAAAGATGTCAAGATTTTGGCTGTTGGTAGTATTCCAAATGCAGATAAAAAGCAATTAGCCCAAGTGGCTTCTTCTCCACAGTACATGTTTATGGTGCTACCTGCAAGCCTAGATGCAGAAACTCCTCGTATAATAAACAAGAAATTTGACTACCTGAGAGAAACTCGCCAACCAAAAGGTATTATTGTACAACATCATTTGAGAATATGAAAGATCTTGTTTGCGTTTTGGAGCAAACATGCTGTGACGTGATATGGAAGTTACGTTATAACTACCACTTCCCTTCCCTATTTTCTATTTTCTGTCCGAGTTCTGTCTACATCTCTTTATATTTATATTCATATTCATAGCAATATTTATGGCGTATGTATTTATTTACTACTAGTGTTAGTCCTATATATATGTCTATATATTTTTCTTCTTCTTTTCTCTGTCCCTAGTCATAATATAAAAAATAAAATAAAAAAAATAAAAAAAAATGAAATAAAACTATTTCTCATTGAATTTAATTCTGCAGCTGTAGAATAGCATGTTTTTCAACTACGAATAATATCTGTTTGTATTGCTTTCCAGCTGATCGCTGGACCAAATGTCAACGCGAGTATCGTGCATCATTAAAGAACTACGTCTATGGTCGATATGTACAACGATGTAAGCCCGATGGTAGCTATGAGCCAGTCCAGTGCCATAGTTCCATCTGCTATTGTGTTAATCAAGATGGCATTGAAATCGCAGGAACAAGGCGATCAGAACGTTCACCACCAAACTGCCAAGATGCTGGTAATAATTCTTTTTCCTGTAGATTTGTAAACGAGATCGAATCAAATTGTACTCGAGATCGTGCGATTCCCTATCCAAATTGTACTCTGTAGAGTCCCAATTAAGTTGCTTAATGTTGTTGGGTGTATAATGAAACAGATCATCCAATCTTCTCGTACGATTCGGAATTTATAGATACTCGTGATGTTTTGAAAACTTTCAAAACATCACTCGTACTTATGGATTCCGAAATTTCTTGAGATCGTGTGATTTCCTATACAAAGTTAAAATATGTTTTCAGCCCGCCGCCCAACGCCTTGTCAGAAACTGTACAACCAGGCTAAAAACATCAATTTAGGAGGATTTATTCCACGATGCTGGGAAGACGGTAGCTTTAAGCTTGTACAGTGCAGCCCATCAGGTTTCTGCTGGTGTGTCGATGAAGATGGAAAAGAGAAGTCTGGTACTAGAAGCAGAGGCTGGCCAAAATGTGCCGTTAAAGGTACGAAATAATGCTTTATTTTTCCCATTTCAACAGTACTAAATCCGATGTTGCTCTAGTTTGGTATTTTGATCGCACAACTAGTTGCGCACCAAATTTCTAAATAAAATTATCAAAAGCAAGCGCGGTTATCTCTTTTCGTTTCGTTTCGTATAAAATATTTAAAATAATTCGATTCAGAAAACGAATGAATGGAAAATAAAAATGGACTTAGTAGTTGCGTGATTGATTTAGTTTTACGTGCTAGGAATTCATATAAGCATTGGAATACAAGACTACTATATATATAGATTTTTATCTGCGTCATGATGCCCCATTATTCCCAACAGGTCGACCAGTAAGACCATGTGAGCAGCAGTTCGAAGCATCCCTGGTCTATGAATCCTTTGGTTCATTCGTACCACGCTGTAAACCCAATGGACAATACGAACCCATGCAGTGTTATGCAGGAGAGTGCTTCTGTGTAGACCAACTGGGCAGTGAGATCGAGGGCTCTGCTACGTTACTACCACTTACGCCATCTTGTCAGGAACCTGGTCTGTATCATTTTGTTACGAATTTGTTTTAAATTTTTGGCGTTTTATTTAAAATATGTACTTACTAGCGTGCAAACACTTAATCCTTGAAATAGGTACTAAAACTAAATAGTTTGAACCTATTGTTTAGTTAGTACTGTTTCGCAAATGAAGTGTTAACGTCCTTTATTTTCAATTACGTCGTATTTTAATATATGAGTCATTAATACTGTTGGCGATTAAATTTATAATCATAACATTTTTTTACTTGAAGGTCGTAAACTGTCTCTCTGCCAGAAGGAATACGAAATGGCTCTTCAGAAGCACGTGCTTGGTCGATGGATTCCAATGTGCCGGTCTGATGGTAGTTACGAGTCTTTCCAGTGTGATCGTGGATGGTTCTGTTGGTGTGTCGATGAGGAAGGACGAGAATTGCCAGGAACAAGGAAACAAGGATGGCCTGATTGTGGTGTCATAGGTAAGACACTAAATTCACTATCTCAGAAAAGTTCTATGGGAGCTTCCTTTGAAATAAATGTATTGTTCTAGATCACATCGCGGAAGCATCAGATGGGCGCTCTGTTTGTCAGATATGTAAATATCTATCTTTTATAAGCTAAAACTTGTTACAATATGTTTTAGGCTGGAAACCTAGCGAATGTCAACGTCATCATCAACTGTCTCTGTCGAATCTGGTCCCTGGCCGCTTTGTACCAAGATGTCTGCCATCAGGATATTACGATGATATTCAGTGTTTTGGCTCTGTGTGTCTGTGTGTAGACAAATATGGAGTCGAAATTCCTGGAACACTAAGACCACGCTTCAAGGAACCAAATTGTCGACCATTTGGTAAGGCATTCGATCATTCTATTTGACTATATGAGATGTGTAATATTGAGGATTGTGGTCTGCCCTCGACACGCATTTCCTCAGTTCCTATGCCTTGTATGACGAGCAATAAAGCCACATATATTACCCACCTTCCCCTATTTTTGCAGGTCCTCTCTGTATAAACATTATTATTATTATTATTATTATTATTATTATTATTATTATTATTTTCGCCTTCTCATTCTCTCTCTCAAACCCTCATAACAGATGACCTCGGCAAGAAGCTTTGATCTCTTTTTCATGAAAGAATGCACTGATTTAGTAAAAAAAATTGCTAAAAAATGTTTTGAATGTTTGCATTAGATGTGAATTGGAATAGAAGAGCCCCGTGGGCACTAAACTATTTCACGCCGGACATGTTCATTGATACTTCATTGCCTTATCCAGTTTTTAGCATTTTATTTCATATTCATTTTGTCATCTTTAAAGGTTGGGCATTAACTCCATGTCAGCGTCACAGCCATGCTGCCTCACATGAATACCCCACTGGAGGATTTGTACCCACTTGCGCTGAAGATGGATCGTATGACCCTATCCAGTGCTTCGGACCCGTGTGCATGTGCGTCGACCAATACGGAATAGAAATTGCCAACACTCGAACAAGTGTATCTCAGATACCAGACTGTACAGGTAAAAAATAACTACGCAGGCTTAAAGGGAGTAGTGTTTTGTGATTGCAATCAACCTGTGCAATTGTCGACCATACGACTTCGACGTCCAGGCTGTGGTTTTATATTTTGTTTCAGTATATTCTTTAGTGAAATAAACATCAATGAAAATATAACTTTTTATTTTCTTTGATCGATTAGGTACCCGTCCTCCCAAGACGTCTTGCCAGAAGCAGTATGCTGCCGCCCTGAAGGACACGTCCTCAAGTCGGGTCGTTGCAAGATGTCGCCCTGACGGACATTTTGAGCACGTGCAGTGTGATGGACTTATGTGCCATTGTGTGTCGGAAAACGGCGAAGAAATCTCGGGAACACGAACCCCAAGACCACTAAGGCCCAACTGCTTTGGTATGCTTTAAACCGTTTCATCTATAATGAAATTATATATTTAATAGTGTCTTGTGATAGTTAGACATAAATCAAGAAACACGACATAGAAAAGTTGACTTTTTTCTTTTTAATTTGTTTCACGGCGGCCATGTTGGAGGAACTTAAGAAAAGAATTGTCAATGAATTCTTTTGTTATATCCTCCAACATGGCCGCCGTGTCTTTTGTTATTTTATTCTCTTGGGAATGGTTGAAAACCATCAATTCCTCACTCTTTGGACCTCTTCTAATATGGGTAACATTTTGGTGTGACTAAGCAATAAGGAATATTAAGGTTGTGTTTGCTTCTAGGATCTCGCCCAACACCCTGCCAACAAGCCTATATCCAAGCTTTGAAGACCTATGAAAAAGGACGTTACATTCCACGATGCAAACGTACTGGAGAGTACGAAGAAATCCAATTCTACGCCTCGTATGCATATTGCGTCGACTCCAAGGGAAACGAAATACAAGGAACAAGAGTGTCGCGGCCTTTCAGGCCAAAATGTGAAATTCCAGGTAATACTTCATAGAGTTCAGACCCGCGATAACCACTAACGTCAATTTGCAGATGTCTAATTGACATGCGCGTGTTTGATTGTACTTGATATTTTAAATTATGTTCAGATATTTTTTCATTGGTTTTGTTTGTACATTCAGCTAATCAAATTCATCCAGGCAAATGTCCACTACCATGGAAGGGACTGGATGGTACTTGTGATAGACGAGGAGACATGTGTCAACGTGATATTGACTGCCCAGATACAAAAAAATGCTGCTTCAACGGATGTCAAAAGGATTGTGTACCTGGCGATCCTGGTATGTAATATAACGTGCATCTATTTAAGGAAATTTTGTTATGTGGACCGGGTATAGTAGCACTAAAACATCGACCTTCTCATCTTTTGATGCTTTCCCAATTCAGACCTATAAACCTCTGGCAAAATGGAAATAATGAAATAACTATTTTGTGACCAACCGTAAGACAACAAGGGAACTCATGAGCTCAGTTAAAATATATAACTAAACAAATATTTGTTAAATTACCAGCAACGTATTTATACCCCTTGGTTTTAATTAAGATATTGCTTATTATCATATGATCCGTATCTGCCCGGGCGTGCGCTCTTAGAAAAACCTTCGGGAAAATGGCGTGAGCAGGGCCGTACGGCTTTGAGCGAGCAGGGCCGTACGAATCCGTACGACCCTGCTCGAATCCGCGCTCTTTTTTTTTTTTTTTTTTCAAATTATTTTTCTTTACATGAGATATGATAAAATGCTTATTGGCTGAGTTAGGTCGGGCCGTACGGGAAAATATTTGGCTCGGTCATTTGCACGGACCTCGCTGCAACCAAACCTCGAGCCAAATATTTTCCTGTACTGCCCTCCCACTCAGTCAATAAGTACATATTAATTTTCATTTGAATTTGAAAGAAAAAGTTCAATAAAAGTTGATGTATTGAGTATTTTTGCATCGTCTTATTCCCATAATGCTTTGTTAGTTGTCTAAAATTGTCTCTTTTGTAATTCCGCCACAACTGCTCTTTTCTATATGTAGGTGGCCCGTGTGAAAAACCCGTCGACATTGTCCTCATCTTGGACTCTTCCGGTAGCATTGGACGGAGAAACTGGAAACGAGTCATCAAGTTCACCAAAAAATTGGTCGATTTGTTCAAGATTTCACCACAGGGACCCCACATAGCAGCTATCTCTTACAGCACCAAAGCAGAAGTTAACTTCAAATTCATTTCTTCAAGCGGTTCGTATCGTGACAGCGACGAAGCAAAGAGGCTGCTGGGACTTATAAGGTGGCAGAGGGGATATACATTTACTGACAAAGCATTGCGTTTAGCTCAGACCGATGTGCTGGTTGAGAAAGCGGGAATGAGAACGTCGGTGACCAAGGTACTGCTTTGAATCGCCATCTCTTTTCTTTTGTTTATGCGCTTGATATAGTTTTCGAATTTTTGAGTACTTTAGGTGTTATGCACTATCATATCGTCAAACAATCAATTACAACATCTGGTTCCCTATGCGGTATTAGAAAACTCATTAATAATTCATGAAGAAAACACAATAGAAATCATGACCGTGAAGGTGATTTTATATCTGATATAGATTCGTCTTCATTTGCATAAACTTTAACTTGGATTTTCTCTATCAAACTTGGTTCATTTCGTAAAGAATTCTGTACCATATGAGAACATACATCATGCGTTTTCTAAGCCGTTTAATAAACTCGCAGATCGTGTCTTATCGGGTCTAAAACCACTCGGCTGCGCCTCGTGTTTTATACCCGATAAAACACTCCTGCTCGTTTTTTAAACAGTACTTAATTATAGAATATTTTCCCCGGGAGTTGATTACAGTAGCCGAATTTCATGGGCCTTACAAAATTTAATATATTGCTTAAAATTACCCGTCATCTGATGCAACGTAGTCGATCACAATGCGGGTTTTTCTTATTTATCTCGATTTTTTATTCGCTTCATTATTTTTTAATGTTAAAAGTTTTTGGGTGCATTTGACAAATCTGACTGTCTAGATGCTTACATTTAGTTCTACGTCGCTCCTTATCATGATTACCATGACTCACATGCGATACTGTTTTCTTCGAAGGCCGTATTTGTACTAACAGATGGTAAACAAACAAAAGATAAAGGCAGTTTTACAGCTCTTAATGTGGCGTCGGCTCCAATCAAGGCTCTGAACGCCAAAGTTTACGCTGTCGGTATTGGATCCTCCGTTGATGAGAATGAACTTCTTCAGATTGCTTCGGCACCGTCATATGTTTTTAGAGTTTCCTCCTTTAAGAAGCTTGACGAGAAGCTTGTGGAATTAAGAAATGCGGGCTGTAAAGGTGAGAGCATTACCTTGTAGACTGAAATAGAAAATCACAGTAAAGAGAATAATATGTAAAGTCATGTTTTGCCTAAAAGCGGAGCTCCCAATGGGTACAGGGAGCCCAATTTAGATAATATAAATTCATAATTAATTTAATGTAATGAATTGTAATGATGTTTTAGGTGCACTAATACCCGTTCCAACAACTGAACCAACTGAGCCTGTCACGCCGACATCCGATCCTTGTGAAAACGTTGAATGTAGTTCTCCCCCCTACTCAGAATGTCGCGTAATAGATGGTGTTCCAAAGTGCCAATGCAGGCTTGGATGTCCCTTAATATCAGCACCTGTTTGTGGTTCTGACGGTAAAACGTATTCGAACGATTGCGTCTTGAAAGCTGCTTCTTGTAAAAATAATAAACTCATTACAATTGCAAGTCAAGTGGCATGCCGTAAGTATTATAATAATATGACTGTAGTGATAACAGATCCACATGCAAAGGGGGAAAAGCCAAGCAATATTGAGCCAATATTTAACGTTATTCGAAAAACTATTCCTTGGTCAACTTGGTGAAAATAAAATGTGCCCTTTTCCAATCGTCTGGCACGGACCTCTTTTAGCTTGACCAATCATTTACAGCGCATGAACTAGGTAATTCTAAGTTCATAGCTTCAAAATTGCTGTTACAAGTCATTCTTGCTATTGCGAGACTCCATTTGTTCAGAATTTTTTGCTTATAACAAAATGTTCTCTACGGCATTATTTCATTTCAGCAACCACTGAACCAACTGAACCAACTGAGCCTATCACGCCGACATCCGATCCTTGTAAAAACGTTGAATGTAGTTCTCCCCCCTACTCAGAATGTCGCGTAATAGATGGTGTTCCAAAGTGCCAATGCAGGCTTGCATGTCCCTTAATATCAGCACCTGTTTGTGGTTCTGACGGTAAAACGTATTCGAACGATTGCGACTTGAAAGCTGCTTCTTGTAACAACAATAAACTCATCACTATTTCAAGTCAAGGAGAATGCCGTAAGTATTATAACAATACGACTGTAGTAATRACAGACCCATATGAGAGGGGGGAAACGCAAGCAAACTCCTTCCTCCATAAGAGGTAAAGTAAAACCATTGTTTCGATGTTGTTAGAAATCCTAGCAACTAAATTGCTCGTGCCGGCTTGTTTGTCAGCCCTTTTTTTGCTCAGTGTCTGGGGCGTATCCATGAATTGTTTGTTGACGGTATGTCCCAAATAAAGAAATATGAAAATAGGGAGATATTATGCATCGCTTCGAAAAGTGTGAAACTAATGTGATTCCTCTACTGACATCTTACATGTTTGTATCTTATAGCAGTAACTACAACACAGCCTTCTACAACAGGTAATGCCATAATGATGAAGCATGTATGGCGCAGGGGGTGTATTTCTAGATTTTTATAATGTTTTTAGTCATGTTTACAGCGGCCATTATGGGGTACCAAAACAATACATTTTCTATCCTCCGGGAATTTAACTCTATTTTTATGCAAATACTGTGCGGAAAGTTTCTATTGTTTATGGCTGTCTTCTCACATGAGTGAAAACGCTCTATTCCTAACTTGTATCAATTTTTCTCTTAACAAAAGCAGCTCCACCTACGTATACAACGTCAGCTACCCCAGAACCTACAACTTCTTCAGGTACGAAAGTATACAATAATTTTTTTTTAGTTACGCATAATTAACTAATAGGTTCAAAGGTTTTTATTTTCCACAAATACATAATACATAAATTACAATAAGAAAAAATGGAAAGGTGGAGGGTGCAAGAGAGACAAGCCAAGAGGGTTAAACAATGTACTCTTGCACCCAGGACTAATTTACAAATAGATAGTATGAAGCGTGGAGATTGCATAGACCAATCAAGCTCTATTAATAAAAGATGATATAAATTTTWAAAAAAATTTGTTTTTCAATACTGATACAAAACAATTTTTGGGTTATATTTACGAGGAAAGAAGAGAGATGAAAAGAGAAAGAAGAATTTTTAATTTCTACTGGAATGTTCACACCGAACTGACCATAATTTAAATTTTTTCGAGGAAGAAAAAGATTTTTGTTGGTTTTCTAATGGACTTTTTCAGTTAACTGAGTTGCAAAACTTCTTCAGATATTAAGTAGTTGTGCGTTAATGTATGTGTAAAGTGAATAGGGAAAGGAAAGAAAGTAACGCCATCATGGAGTTCGATGTACGCTTCATTCACGCCCTAAAGCCTGCATAACTTTGGTCTCCACCTAGAGATTGTTACTTTATTTTCGACTTCCTGTTGCTCATGCATCAGGGTCTGCCATAAATTTGTGTAGAATATTTACGTGTTCTAGTGAAGGTGTTTTTATTGTTGAAGTTGAGCATTTTTTACTTTACCTTTGGTATTTGTGAATATTTCGACGCTGAAATGAGGCTAACTCTGAGCAAATGAGTCTTCAATCAAGGAACGCAGGGGTAATTTAGGAACTGAAAGAGGTCTTTTATCGGGTGATGGCGAATCCAAAAGCCATCACTTTGTTATTGGCTGGTGCAACAACGAAAAGAGAAACAAGAAACAGAAAAAAAATGACCTTTGTTACCCTTAAATCCATTAACTGTTTGGAGGTGACCAAAGGAAAGCACAAAATGGGAAAAAGAACGGTGTTCCCAAGAAAATAGACATAGTTTTTTAAATACCGAATCATATTTGAAAAAAATTGCATGGTATCCGGTAAAATGCATGGTCTATTTTAACAGCACGTTTGCTTCTAATTTCATTTTCGTCGCAAATTAACTTGCGTAACTCATTTCGCATTGTGGCTGCCATTTTGATACGAATGCAGCAAGCATCTAATTCCATAAGAAGAAAGGTTGGACGTTTGAGTATTTACCATGCGCATGTGCCAACAGGATTCTTTCGAATAGTTTGGAGCTACTAAATTGGATATGCAAGGCACACCTCGAAAGGATTTATATATCAATCAGTCGCACTTTGCATGGCCTTCGCTAGAGGCACGATCGTCCATAACTTAGTGCATGATGTTTGTTCTGAACCAGATGCATTATATAGGATACTAAAACCGAAGAGTATATCATTTCATGCAGATCCTTGTCATGCTCACAAATGCGGTCGCCCATATTCCGTATGTATGGCCCAACGAGAAAAGCCAATGTGCATTTGTCTACCGTRCCCAATGATTAGATATCAACCTGTGTGCGGATCGGACGGCAAGACATACAGCGACGAATGCCGTTTACGTATAAAAGCGTGTAGGACAAATAAATTTATTGAAGTTGTTAGCGAAGGGATATGCCGTGAGTAAACCATGTTATTAATTCTGTTCACTGATCGAATGGCATTCGAACATTCCTTCTTTTAGTTGAAATGTTTGAGTATTGAGTCAAAGGGCAACACCACGGTCAAACGTTTGCGCAATGTAAGTTGTTAGCGAAGGGATATGCCTTGAGTAAACCATGTTATTAATTCTGTTCACTGATCGAATGGCATTCGAACATTCCTTCTTTTAGTTGAAATGTTTGAGTATTATGTCAATGGGCAACACCACGGTCAATAAACGTTTGCGCAATGTAAGACTTTCAGTATTTGTGTTGAAAAGGCACTTGGCAGGCTTAAAACAAAGAATATGAAATATAATAAAATAAAGTACRACAAAATAAAGGGATTTCTTCATATCAGTTTTCGTTTTGCTGTCGATAACATTTAAAAAAATGTTTCTTTCAGAGCTAATTACGAGCGAGTCAATTAATCGGGACAAGTCGCTTTTTTTCTGTAAAGTACAACCAAATATAAGGATTTCTTCACATCAGTTCTCGTTTTGCTATCGATAACAAAAAAAATGTCTCTTTAAGAGCTAATTAAAAGTCAATCGGGAGAAGTCGCTTTTTTTGCTCCAAAGAAGGACTAACGCTTACATTTTCAAAACAGTTCCGAACTTGCATAATGAAGACCCTGACAATGCATCACCTTACTTTTTATTGCAAAACAAAATTCCCAAACTCCGTTTCTTTAAATTAATTTTATGCAAAAAAACAAAACAAAACAACAACGAAAAAAAAAAAGCTTAATTTACTGTTTAATTTACCTTTAATTTCCGTTACTGGATAGTAAATTAGGTGATTAGAGCCAATTTTTTGTCAAACATCGACTAAACAAGAGAGAATGATACACAGTTTAAGAAACGGAACCCCCCTTTGAAAAATCCTGGATCCTCCACTGGTGAAACGTGAAACGCACGGCGTCTAAGTGCTAAGTAGTTCAATTAGCAAGGGCATGCGAAACCGAAAGGTTGCTGTACGAGTAATTTCAATTTAATGTGTGTCTTCAAAGCACTACAAAGTACTGCATGCGCAACCCCTCCTCTTGCAATAAACATTTTAGTACTATTTAGCAATTAGTCTTCGAGTCCGAATGGGCTATCGACTTATAGGTCATGAGGGCGAGGACTAAGTAGTTTAGTCAAATCCAATAAGTCAAATATACAGATGCAAACATGTTTTGAATTCGAGTCTTTTAGTAGTAAAACTTTAAGTGATGGACACCAAATATTGATTAGTCGTCAAATGCGGACTAAATTGGTTCTCAGAATATCCTTTTCCATTTTTATATTTTGTTTTGTTTTGTTTGCAATTTCAGCAACCAAACCAGTGACAAAGACTACCACCGCACAAGTTATAAGACCAGGTTTGCTAAACTTATTGTTATTGTGGTACTGCGAGCGCATATCTATAGCATATATAATTAAGATGACGCATAAGGCTGCAACAATATGTGACCTCTCATATCTCTAAATGGTTTAGTTAGTAACCTGGGACAATTGCCACGTTAAAGAATTGAAAAACAAAAATAAATTGCTGGGTTCAGTGGATGAGAGTAAACCATTTTATCTTATAAACACATAATATTTTGTAAACAGATACTTGTCTTGGGTACAAATGTACGTCACCTCCCTACTCCAGATGCATCATGATTAGTGGCAAACCAACATGTATATGCCAGTCTTGTCCAGTCGGAGGTGTACCTGGTTATGTATGTGGATCAGATGGGAACACCTACATCAATACGTGCCAGCTTAGAGCTAAAGCATGCGTCACAAACAAATATATCACAGTCGTTGGCCAAGGAAAATGCCGTAAGTACAACAACAGATTGAAGGGTTGTCACATAGAAATTTCGTGTGAAAAAATGAGTTTTGAGGGATAATAAAGTGTTCGCACATGCATACTTTATGCATGCAATAGTTGTCAGTGCCGTAAGTTACAAAAACATTGGTTTTATGATGAACATGGATCTTGTCAGCTAGCAGTATTTAACATATGAATACATCTTACGAGACAACGCGTAATAGGGATTGAGTTTAAATGGATAGATGTATTTAGAGACCAGAACTGATATTTGCGTTCTATAGGAAATGCCAATACTATTCTTATTAAAAGTAAAGACAAACACACGAAACTCTTATATTTCCCGTCATCTTTGCTTTGTTTTGCCCTCTTGCAAGATGGCAGCCGTATCGTCGAAATAGTACAATGGTTCAGGCCTCTGCTTAGAAAGGTTTTCTCTCGATTTCTCTTACATAGTAAAATGAGTCGATAAAACCAAGCAGTAGCCTTCGTCGTTTATAACCTATACCTTTACAATAAAATACCATGGCCTTAAGCATTTGAGGTTTTGATGTCTGTTTCGTATCAATAAAGAAACCCTGACATCAAATTTAGCATTTTTATATTATTGGCCGTTGCTAACGTTCTACATTTTGTCATAGCTACGGTCGTACCAACTCCATCAACAACAAAGATACCTGTTTCGCCTGAAAAAGGTAAGGATTGCAGTTTATTGAAAATACACCAATTTCTCGTCTGTGGATGTAGTGATGTAGTGTATCAGCACAAAACCAAAGTGAATAAATGGTACTGTCGATTTTCGTATTCTTATTTGATGGTGGTGGTTGTAGGGAATTAAGAGGGCCAGGGTTGATTTTACGGTCATCTTTCTAAGGCCTTATGTAACGAGCTTTCGCAGTTGTAACATATAAAGCATGGCCATTTATTTCGATGGTTGTATTAGTACATGTAATTGGCTTATTTGCACTTTCAATCACATTGTTTTATATTAACAGACACACCCGCTCGTACAACAGTGTCTCCAACGGTAACCCCTACGCCTGAAGTCAAAGGTGAGAACATTAGGAACAACGTGTACTTTTGCTAGTTAATCCGTGTTCATATTGAGCTAAAGGCTCGGTCAATGTAGTTTTTTTTAATGATATGAGAGAATTTAGCTTTTCACTTTTATAAATGATGACTCACTTATTATTTGAATTGTTTTTAGTGGAATGTGAGGATAAGGTAGACATAGCATTCTTGATGGACTCATCTGGAAGCCTAGGTCGTCGAAACTGGAAAACTCTACAGAACTTTGTAATTAGTATCATCGATGAAATTACTGTGAGCAGCGATGGAAATCACGCGGCTGCTGTGGTGTACAGTAGTGATGCTAAGGTTGCATTCGATTTCAATACCCTGCAAGGCTCCAGTGTCACAGCTGCAGAATATGGCAAACTTATGAATAAAGTGCAACTTCTGAGAGGATTTACTTTCACTGACAAGGCACTTGCTTTGGCCAACAGTAATATATTTACAAGGGCTGCTGGAATGAGGAAAGAGGCATCAAAGGTAAAAAATTATGTTGCACTGGTAAAAAATATCAGATTCTTAACCAAGCCAATCAGTACCGGGTTGGCTTACAATGATCGCTCTGTGCTTTTCACATGGTTGTGTAAGCCTTAGTGATAAGAAGTAATGAAAAAGCAAGAAATAAAAAAAATATTTGTATTT